GCACAGAAGTAGAATGACATCTCATCAACTTCAGAGGAAAGCGTTGTACGCGGATGTGCCCTAAGGCTGGAAACTGTTGAGCAGTGCAGCGACGGGAGCTGCAAAATCATTAAAACTAAGGGGGTGTGGGTGAAGATTATTGGATATGCAATTACACCATTATTAAGTTATATAACTCTGTAGTAGTAAAAGCTGTCTGGGACTGATGCTCACCGCAAATGCTTGCCATTCTTGCTTAAACAGCGTAGTGGGTGAGGTATACTTAATCTCCCAGTTATTTCTTCTGTACAAACTCCCTGTTGCCCCTGCTGCTCCCACTGCCTTCCAACCTTGCCCCCCCTCACCTGCTCCCCAACCCCCCGACCCCTCAAAGTTCCTTCAAGCCCCACCATTGTTGGAAAATTCCATTCCACCTTTAGTTGCAGACATGGAACTGTTGCATGTCACATGTCTGTTTACATACCAGCACAGCTTGTTGGAACTTCCGTTGTGTGTATAGCTTTTGCTTTTCCTTGCCTCTCTGAGAAGACAAAGAGAGAGATGACATGTTTCTTTGTCCTGATTTATGATTAATAAATCCGTAGTTGTAGTATGCTTCCACAAGCCTCACGCCTATTCTGTGTGCGCAGTTTGCTCTGCTGATATAGTGTGCCCTGGCTTTGAAGCCTGGGCCGCTGATTTACGTCGGAGCAGAGGCCGGTGGGTCTTTGCAGCGGGACGGCTGGAAGGAGACGAGCCAGCTGGGGCTAGCCAGCTGGCCTTGCGACCTTCTGCATGCCGACAACCATATCCTCACAGCTCCCTCAGGCTCCCCATATAATATGTCTATCCATTCCTGCTTTATTCAACTACCATCTTAAACCCCAACTCCTCTTCTGTGTCCCTACCCCACCCTGGCCCCATGCAAATTTGGGATTGTCAACAGGCACTGCAGATACTCCAATGGAGGTTGCGTGACGGCAACCTTACAATTTTATGTATATAGGAAGAAACTGGATTGCAATAACAAGGGAATTGTTGAAACTTTCGCCCGTGGAAAAATAGCGGCTTGATGCAGCCAGACAACTTGGCTTAAGTTCCGTTTAACCTTTGGCATGGATTATTATCCTCTTGCAGGAAAAAGCGGGTGTGTATTAATCTTGTAAAGGCAGTGATACTGGCGAAGGGGAAGAGAGATATTTTCCATTGGGCCCTGGGGCAAATAATAAGCAGGGTTTCTACCTACACCAAACCCTTCAATGAGCAAATAGAAAGGTGGCTGGTGTTTATTGAAATGCAATGCTTAAAACAATTTAGGTTTTGAGATAGAGTGTGGGTTAAACCACAGAGCCTAGGACTTGCCAATCAGAAGGTCGGCGGTTTGAATCCCTGCGACTGGGTGAGCTCCCGTTGCTCGGTCCCTGCTCCTGCCAACCTAGCAGTTCGAAAGCACGTCAAAGTGCAAGTAGATAAATAGGTACCACTCCGGCGGGAAGGTAAACGGCATTTCCGGGCGCTGCTCTGGTTCACCAGAAGCGGCTTAGTCATGCTGGCCACATGACGCGGAAACTGTACGCTGGCTCCCTCGGCCAGTAAAGCGAGATGAGTACCACAACCCCAGAGTCAGTCACGACTGGACCTAATGGTCAGGGGTCCCTTTACCTTTAAGGACAGGGGAGGGAAACATAAATCTGTCAGTTTTCCTTTCTCTCAGTTTGCAACTTTCCCAGTCCTAGGTTCTCCACCTTTCCTACTGAAAATCTGTAATTTTAGTGCACTTTTATCCTAATAAATACATATTTGTATGTAATTCTGCCTAATATAATGCATGTTGATATGCACGTTCCCCTAATAAATGCACTTTTGCTCTGCTTACTGTCAATATATACCCCCAAAATTTGAAGAGATGTGAATTTTGAATAATAGCTCCATTTCAGTTTGCATATTGCTTCAAGAAGTGCAAATCTAGGTTCGTTTTGCATTAAAACATGGACTGGACTGGATTTCTTCCCCAACCCGAAGTGTGGTTATAGGGAAATTTTAAACCCACAAATGGAGGCGCAGGATGAAGGGGCTTAGTGTTGTGGTGTGAGTTAAAATCCTGTGAAAGAGTCACTTGTTGTGCCAGATATCAGCAGTTGGCAAATGATCATGGCAAAATCACGATTTGCAATTCCTTAGCCATTTCCCCTGACCAAAATCTGACGCTCAAGGTTTCTCACATGGCTATCATTTTCACTAGGGAGATTACAGGCGGCATTCTTCTTCCATTTCCCCACCACAACAAGATAAGATAGGCAGAGAGATAATGTCCTAAGGTTGCCAAATAAGTTTCATGGTGGAGGAGGCAGAATCTGAAGTCAGAGCTCCCTGCCTGAAAGTCAGCCTCTCATTTCCTAAAATGCTGTTGGTTAACTATGTCGCATGCAGGAGATTCTCTAAACTCCATTCTAGTAAATTGTGGGTGGTGGACTGCATCCTTGACCCCTTGACCTGCCAGTGAAAAAAAGCTCCTTTTAATAGTCATATCTGCTTTCTGGCGTGTTAATTTTCTGTATATCTGTGGTGGAGAAAGCAAAGATACAGTAGCTCAGGCAAACTCGGCCCTCCAGATGTTTTGGGACTACAACTCCCATCATCCCTAGCTAACAGGGCCAATGGTCAGGGATGATGGGAGTTGTAGTCTCAAAACATCTGGAGGGCCTAGTTTGCCTATGCCTGCAGTAGCTTCACCTGTGTAGCATGAACTGGTATACTCCAGAAAAAGCTAGACTATTTTGCTGGTTGTTGCTGTTGTTTAGACCCTGTTGGAAGTCGCCCAGTCACCCTTTGGTTTCTTTGTTTGTATTTACAATTGTGAGTTGTCACAGTTATTGGTAATAGCTATTGGTTTCGCTATACAGTTGTTACTGTACATCCTTTGCAGGTGAAGGAGTTGTGCATGTTTGGCACATGATTATATACAAATATTTTGTGCTATAAATTGCCTTCACTCTTATGTTTTCGTTAGTAAGAATGCATAAATATAATTTTCATGCAATATTCTTTGCTGAATTTTATTGTGTTACCATCTTCCTTGGTGAGTTGTGTAAACCACTGTTCTGAATAATGCCTTTTGTAGGGCAGGGGGCATTGGGGATGGTTTTGTGGAACCAAGGGACTGACAGCCACCAAAAATTTGGGAGCCGCTGATATAGATGAAGACTGTGGTTTTTGTGTTTTGTATGAGTTTCTCCCTTTTAGCACGACGCTGTTTTGACGACATGCCAGACCAAGCATGTGAGGATCTGACGCTCATTTGTAACTCTTCATGTTTTTGGCATGAGTTTCCCAGCCATGCCGACACATGTTCCTCATCACTCACCGAGAGAAAAAAAGAAAGGCAGTGGCCTATCTGGGGACATCACGACAAATGCACGGCCATTATTTTTTATGATGCCGATGATTTGTAATGTTAATAGCAGCAGTTTTATTTCATTTAGGAATCACTTCCCAGCAGGCGTTGTGGAGCGATTCGCAGTATAATCACATATTCAAAACAGTTTCATCCATGAAAACAGTTAAAACATATTTTAGGGACGCGGGTGGCTCTGTGGTCTAAACCACTGAGCCTCTTGGGATAGCCGATTGGAAAGTTGGCGATTTGAATCCGTGCGACAGGGTGAGCTCCCGTTGCTCTGTCCCAGCTTCTGCCAACCTAGCAGTTTGAAAGCACACCAGTGCAAGTAGATAAATAGGTACCGCTGCGGCGGGAAGGCAAACAGCATTTCCATGCACTCTGGCACTCTCACTGCGTTATCTTCCTTAGTGGATCCTGCGAACTGCTATTCTGAATAATGCTTTTATAGGGCAGGGGCACTGGGGATGAGTTCATGGAACAAGGGCCCAAAAAAGTTTGGGAACCACTGTTTTGGTGCAAAGAGAAGAGCTATTATGCAGGCCAAATCTGGTTAGAGAGCTGTAAGGAGAAATATCATGTGTGGAGAACTGCCGGGTATCACACTGCCCTTCCTTCCTTCCTTCCCTCCCTCTGGATAAATGCAGGGCAAAGTTTTCCTCCTGCATGTTTGAGAACCACTAGCTGAGCAGAGGTGAAAGTTCCCCATGTGGATATTATAAACTAGTTGTGTTCTGTGTTATAAATCAAGCACTGCTAGGAGCTGTTCCTTTCCCCCCTTTCCAATATGTTTCTTATCAATAAAAGAAAAACCGGTGTAGCCAGAACACGTTTTTATTCTGAAAGTGTGGCCCAAAGAGAAAAAAGTTCTGAGAACCACTGGGTTAAGAGGGACGTCGCAAACAGCCTACATCCTCCCTCCCAAACTCATAGCACTATGATGCCAGGCACACCACAGAGGTTTTATTTGTGGCAGAGAAAACAAAAGATACAGCGGCTTCGCAAGCAAAGAGGATTTGAAACTGTACCAGCGGTACCTGGGTGGGTTGAGGGGGAGAGAGAGAGAAAGCTTCTTGCGGAGCAGCTTTGCAAAGCGCCACAGCTCAACTGATCGGTGGCGTTTGCAAAGCCCTTTTGCCCACGTGTCCTGTTTTCAAACGCCCCAGGGCCCGAAGGCGTCCAGCAAGGTCGTGGCACGAGAGAGATTTGAACCCAGCCCCTCGCTTCCCTTGCAGCTCCCGCCCTGAATGCGCCTTCCTTTTGGGGATGCCACAGGTCTCTCCAAATGAAAACGAAAACATACAGAAAGCCCCTTTCCACGGCGTTTAAGGCGGTTTTTGCAGCAAGAAAGCGGCGCGCCCAGAGGCCAGCCCTTTGGATCTGCCTCCTTTTAGCGGGCAGCGCCTTCTCGTTGCATTTCCCGGGCTCGTGGGAACGCGCGCATCTCCTCGGGCGAGCCCTTGGCGTTGGCAACAGGGCGCTCGCAGGCAGCACTGGAAACAGATCAGGAAAAGCAACAGCGGGAGGTGGCGAGAGGGAGGGAGGGAGGCGGAGGGCTGAAGGTCTCTTTTCCTGGCCCGGCTGTTTATTTTTTGCAGCGCTCCGGCTGGGGGCGTGTATTTAAATGGCGCCGCGCAGCCAATGCGCACCGAGGGGCCGGGCCATGTGGGCAGCTTGTTTACAACAGACCTTCGCGAGAAAGCTTGAACCCGGCCGGCAAAGGAGGCGGAGGAGGCGGCGGCGAGAAGGAAAGCCCGGCGCCCCGGAGCACGTGGAGGAGCCGAGCGCGCTCGGGGGATCGGAGGCTGTGCGCCGGCTCCCGTGCGCCCTGGTGCGCTCCCGGTTGCGCACCCAGAAGCTGCGGTGATGGGCGCGGCGATCCTCGCGAGGAGGCCCCGCTAGGAGAGGACCCCGCAGCGGCTCGGAGGCGAAGAGGTGAGCTCGGAGGAAGGGTGTGCATGGGAAGACACGGGAAAAAGTGGCTTCGTGTTGCAGGGGGAACGTCGGAACGGAGGCCCACCACCTGGTCCTTCTTGCAAGCAGGGCAGCCAGGCAGAAAACCTTATTTTGCCGTCGGTGCTGTTGTTGGTTTCAGCCAGCTGTTATCGAGAGGGGCGGGGGGAGACTGCTGTTTGCTTAATTCAGGCTTAGGACCGCATGGATGTAGCTAAAATTCCTCCATGGATTTGCCCCGTCCTTTTGGAGAGCCATCTAAGCAAAGGGCTGCCGCCACACCTTGTGGCAAGGAGTTCCGTGCATTAATGAGGGGATGATGGGAGGAAGTGCTCCCCTTTGTCTACTCGGTCTCTCCTGCCAGGAAGAGTATCTGGGAACCCGGGATTCTGGAACTATGGATGGGAGAGGGGCAAACATAGAATCGTATTTTATTTGTTTATTACATATATGCCACCTTTTTTCTTCCAAGGAGCTCAGGGTGGTGTACATGGTTCTCCTCTTACCCTCACAACAACCCTGTGAGGTAGGTTTAAATCATAGAATTATAGAGCTGGAAGGGACCCCAAGGGTCATCTAGTCCAACCCCTTGCAATGCAGGAATCTTTTTAGGGTCTCATTCTCTGCTAATTGAGCTATATGAATGATAGGACTCTCTGGTCATTTTCTTGCGCCATGCATTCTTCCCCCAACCCTCTCCCATGCATCCTGTTGTTCTCCTAAATTATAAAAAAAGCATCATAGCCCTAAGGCCAGCCTTTCCCAACCTGGTGCCCTCCAGATGTTTTGGATTGCAAATCCCGTTGGCCCAGGCTGCTTAAACTCTTCCACAAAGGAAAGATGCTCAAACTTCGCAGTCATTGTAATTACTTTTTTTCTGGCTGCTTTTGCACCTCTCTGAATATTAACGGTTAATGGCTGCAGATCCTGCCTTTGGTGCTAGGAAAGAACGTTGCAGGTAGGTAAACGAGTACAGTCCTTGCCAAGCTGGTGCCCTCCAGATGTTTTGGACTACAGTTCCCATCAGCCTGATGTGCTGACTGGGGTTGGTGGGAGTTGTAGTCCAAAACATCAGGAGGGCACCAGGTTGGGGATTAATAATAATAATACTAATACCCTACCCATTTGGCTAGGTTTCCTGGGAAGGAAGGCTGGACCTGGGCTTATAGATTCCCCTCTCCCCATTCTCCTTTCTTTTGTAATCTTACTTATTTTTGATATATTTGCCCTGCTTCCGAGCTCATGTGGCAAAGAGACTGTGGTGTGTGCCTTGCCATGCTGCCATTTGTGCACATCCAATGAAGCTGGGTGTTGGATGATTCCGGGACAGATACAAGGAAGGACTTACTTCCACGCGGTGCATAGTTAGACTGTGGAACTCCCTCCCACTGTAGACAGTGCTGGCCACCAACCCGGATGGCTTTAAAAGAAGATGGGGGGAGGAGGAGAACCATCAACTGGCCTCATCCAGCAGGCTCTCCTTATGTTCCTATGCCAGCAAGTCACCTGGAGATATTTGCTCTGCCTGTTGTGAATTTCCACTTGCTGATAGCGTCCCTGGCCTGGGATGTGTCAACAGATCTGTTGCCAGTCTGATGGGGGAAGGTGTATGGGTTTTGTTTTGCAAAACAGTGTGAATGTCCTGATAGCAGGTGAACATGGCCGGAGGGATGAAGTGGACTCCTTTATAGCTTTGTGAAAAAGGTAAAGGGACCCCTGACCATTAGGTCCAGTTGCAAACGACTCTGGGGTTGCGGCGCTCATCTCGCTTTACTGGCCGAGGGAGCCGGCGTACAGCTTCCGGGTCATGTGGCCAGCATGACTAAGCCGCTTCTTGCGAACCGGAGCAGCGCACAGAAACACCGTTTAAATGTACTTTTGTCGGTGTTTGTCCTTTGATGCTATGGCCTGTTGGCTATGCAAATAAAGTCTTTGTTGTTGTTGTTGAAACACCGTTTACCTTCCCGCCGGATCGGTACCTATTTATCTACTTGCACTTTGACTTGCTTTCGAACTGCTAGGTTGGCAGGAGCAGGGACCGAGAAACGGGAGCTCAACCCGTCCCAGGGATTCAAACCACCCACCTTCTGATCGGCAAGTCCTAGACTCTGTGGTTTAACCCACAGCGCCACCCGCATCCCTTGTGAAAGAGACCCCCTCCTTAAAAAAAAATTAAAAAATCCTTCTTTACATACTTGAAATAGCCCTGTCTCAAAAGCAGCACAGCTGATTCTGTGTAACTTACTATGTCCGCCTGATGTTTTGGACTATGGTTTCCATCACACCCAGCATTCTACGGCCCTGCTGACTAGGGAAGATGGGAATTGCAGTCTTAAATCATCTGGAGGGCAAAGGCTGCCCTAGAATATTCAGCCTCCAGAGCCTTCCCTTATAGAATTGCAAGATTATGGAGTTATATCTATTGTATAATTACAATTCTGTATCGGAAAATGCAGGGAGGGTGCATAAGTTAGTGCAGAAGGTTCTTAGTTAAATCTCTGGCATCTCCAGTTCCGACCCCATGCACACACAAACAAAACAAAACAAAACAAAACAAAACAAAACAAAACAGGCAGCAGGACTCTGTACAGAAGACCCAAGAGTGCTGTGCCGGTGTGATTAGATGGTAGCAGGCGGATGGAAAAATAGCCTGACCTGTTCTGGGGCAGCTTTCTTTGACAATAGACCTTTAGAGCATGGGTAGACAAACTAAGACCCAGGGGCCGGATCCGGCCCAATCGCCTTCTCAATCCGGCCCGCTGACGGCCCAGGAACCAGCGTGTTTTTACATGAGTAGAATGTATCCTTTTATTTAAAATGCATCTCTGGGTTATTTGTGGGGCCTGCCTGGTGTTTTTACATGAGTAGAATGTGTGCTTTTATTTGACATGCATCTCTGGGTTATTTGAGGGGCATTGGAATTCGTTCATTTCCCCCCAAAAAATTATAGTCCGGCCCCACACAAGGTCTATGGGACTGGCCCCCCTGCTGAAGTGAACTGGCCCCCTGCTGGAAAAGTTTGCTGACCCCTGCTTTAGGGAGTCTTGTGACCTTGAGACTACATCTCCAGGATGCAATCAAGAGGCCTAGCAAAATGGGAAGCTTTTTTAATACCAAGTCAGACCATTGGTCCTTCTGGCTCAGTATTGTCTACACCGATTGGTTGTGTTTCCCTGGGGTTTCAGACAGGAGTCTCTCCCATCCATACCTGGAGAGCCTGAGGACTGAATATGGGACCTCCTGCTTGCCCTTCCCTCCCTGACTTCATAGGACTCTATATCCACTGATAGTTCTTGGCTGCATGAAGCAGATGAACTGAATGTCAAGCTAGCACTTTGCAATATATTTCAGGGTTGAAAGCTCTTTCAGCCAAGCCACACCTGAGCTGGTGTGAACTCTCCCGTGGTAGTTCTCAGGCCTAGTTCTTTAGGTTGCAGTCATTTCCAAAGGCTGCAAGATTAAACTCCTTAACCACCTCACAAAGAACAAGTCTCAAACCTGAAGGTTCACATACTCCAATGGTGTCGCTTGCCATGGAGATAGGATGTAATTCTCCTAGGAAATGCTTAAAGTTTAAGTTCTTAAAAGCAGTTATGACGAGCCTTCCTGTACACTCCAGGTCAAGTGGTGGGGTGTGTGTGTGAAAAAATCCACATTTGTGAACTTTTTTGGATGCAGCTGGATGGTATGCAAAACCCTGATTGCAACGATCTTTCAATTAATGTGCAAATGACAATTAGGAAACATTTGCATTCTTTAATGTGGGTTGTTATAATTGTATGTATCAGAAAACGTGCCCAGGGCTGCCAACTCCCACCTTGCCTCAAGTAGTCCTATTGTTGTACCTTGTGGCAAACCCCAAATTGAAATACAGAGCACATTGGCACACTTGTTCCCTTATTCCCTGCAGACAGGAATACTAAGAGGATGTTCTTCGGAAAAGAAAGGCGTGAATTCTCTGGTGCTAAGGTGCTGTGAAACATACAATTGGATCCTGTCGCGCCCCCGCCCCCCGCCCTGTTTTTCTTTTCATTAAAAGAGTTTCAACAATATGGCGCCCTGCCACCTTATTCCTCCAAACACTCAGAAGCTGCACTCAGCCACTCTGTTTGCACTGTAGGTGTGTCTCGCCAAAGAAATATCTGCAAACTCCCAGTGCAAACAAAGGGGTAGGGTAAGGCTTCTGCTGGGGGCTGGATCACGTAGGTGTCTTCATTAGGTGAGGACTGCAGCTGCTTTTCAGGGCTGGCAGTTCACACACTCAGCTCCCAGCCATGCCATGTGCGGAGGAGATGGACAGAGCAATGTTTTGCCTCTCCGCTCAGAACTCAAGCACTGCCAGGTAACTGTGTACACTTGGTTCTCAAACGTAGAATGCTCCAGAAGTCCGTTCGACTTCTGAAATGTTCGAAAACCAAGGTTGCGGCTTACGATTGGCGCAGGCGCCCTGGAAACAATAGCCAGCAACTGCATCGGGTGTTCGGCTTCCGAAAAACATTCGGAAACCAGAACACTTACTTCTGGGTTTTCGGCGTTCGGGAAATGAAATGTTCAAGTACCAAGGCGTTCAAGAACCAAGGTTCCGCTGTACAAGCACCCTTCCCCAAACTGATGCCCTCCAGTGGTGTAGCGTGGGTTGCCAGTGACCGGGGCAAGCAGGTATCCTTGGTTCTGCCCGCCGACACGCTGGAACGAAGGGGTAATAGCTTGGTGGCCTACCCGAGTGGGGGCCATGGTACCCCGTGAGGGTCAAGCATGGCGCTGTGCAGAGGGTGCCCTAGCAAACCACCATTGCCCAAATCCACTCCTCAGTCTGCCCACACAAACATTGGGAGACTGTCTGTGTGAGGGGGCAGGGGCACTATTTTTATTTATTTATGATTCTTTCCTTTCCTTTCATTTTGAAGTTTTGTGCCCCTAATAATTTGCACCCAGGGCAAGTGCCCCAGTGGCCCCACCCAAGGTATGTCACACTGCAACTCCCATCTTCTCCAGCCAACATGGCTGCAGGATACTGGGTGATGGGAGTTGTAGCCCAAGGGTGCCAGGGTGGGAAATGCTGGTTTACATAGCCAAAAGGAAGGATGTGAATCTGCAAGGCAGCCCGAGGCGGCTGCTTCTCAGTTACTGAAAGATCCAGGGATCTCACCTAAAGCCAAAACCATGTACTGTGGTACCTCGGGTTACATATGCTTCAGGTTACATACGCTTCAGGTTACAGACTCCTCTAACCTAGAAATAGTACCTCAGGTTAAGAACTTTGCTTCAGGATGAGAACAGAAATCGTGCTCCGGCGGTGTGGCAGCAGCAGGAGGCCCCATTAGCTAGAGTGGTGCTTCAGGTTAAGAACAGTTTCAGGTTAAGAACGGACCTCCGGAACGAATTAAGTACGTAACCAGAGGTACCACTGTATTGCCAGTACACATTGGGTTCAGTGGTGGGTGGGCTTGCCAAAGTCTTTATTCCCAGAGGCCCGGCCCCTTTCTACTACAGTGGTACCTTCATTCTCAAACTTAATCCATTCCAGAAGTCCGTTTGACTCCCGAAACGTTCGAAAACCAAGGCTGCGGCTTCCGATTGGCGCATGAGCCCCAGAAACAATAGCTGACAACCGCATTGGGTGTTCGGCTTCTGAAAAAAAATTGAAAACTGGAACGGTTTTTGGCATTCGGGAGCCGATTTGTTTGTCAACTAAGCTGTTCGAGAACCAAGGTTCCACTGTCCTACTACTACTACTACTACTACTATTTAATTCTGCCAAGTGTGTAAAGCTGAATGCACACGTTAAAGGCCCTCGGAGCTGGACCTCAGTGTCTGGGCAGAACGATGGGGGTGGAGATGCTCCTTCAGATATAAACTGGACCGAGGCCGTTTGGGGCTTTAAAGGTCAGCACCAACACTTTGAATTGTGCTCGGAAACGTTAGTTAGGTTAGTTTCCAAAGACACCCCCCCCACCTCCTTTCTGTCCATCATCTAAGGAAGCAAAAGGCATTGCTGGAGTTCAAGCCCAGGTCCCAGCCACGCGAAAAAAACACGAAGGGAAGTTGCAAAGCCAGGGGGTGTGTGACTAGAAAAGAGATGTGGGCTGTAGAGCGTCCTGTGGGCCATATTGAGAGGGTTGCATTCAGTCCCTGTAGCCTCATCCACTGGTGTAGCTTAAGAAAAGCTGGTGGTGACTCCGGTCTAGTGTTCCAACGCAGTTCTTTTCCTGCACTGGTGCAAACCCACCCGCCATCTTTGTGAAGGGCAGGGGGAGTGTTTAATTCTGTGGCACTCATTTGCCGGCCAGCAGAGATGGGAACTCGAGGACAGGGGTCGGCAACCTAAGGCCCATGGGCCACAAGCAGCCCATGGGGGTTGTTTAATCAGCCCATGGACCCCCGCCACCTGCTCAGATGCCTCCCATGCACCGCACTAAACTGGTGCAGAGCAGAGGAGGGACCACCTTCCACGGCGCTCGCCGGCTTCCCATTGGCTGCAGGAAGGTCCTGCAGCCAATGGGAAGCTGTGCACGCCTCCTCTGCGCAGGAAATAGCGTTTGCGCATGCATGTGTGCGCACTCCGTCCCACTGCGGCGTCTGCAGGACCGTGAACTGGCCCAAGCCACAAAAACTTTGCCGACCCCTGCTCTAGGAGTATTAAGGGAGGATAGATGGGTAGAACTCATTCACCCTGTCAAGGAAAAATTCCTCCAACTCAATACGTGCCCAAATTCTAAGAATGCTCAGATTTCATCTCACTTTTTATTTATTTCCTCCTTTAAAGAAACTGTCCCTAGTGATTCTATACTATGTTTTTGGGGGGCGGGGAAACACCAAATGCCTAGAAATTCGTGATCTGTTTGGCTCACATCCTGTGGCTTCCCATATGCCCCCGTTGTAAGCAACTTTTGTGCAATTCAGACTTTGCGCAACAAGGCCAGCCCTGGGTCTGCACTCTCTGTTTTCTGCCTTTGCCAACTTTGGCCCTTTTCTCTCTGTTTGCGGTCCCAATTTCTCCCTCTCCTCCCGCCCAGGTTTGTGCTGTAACCTATAGAGAACTAGCAGGACACCTTGGTTAGAATCCTGGTCTAGGACCTGGGAGACCAGGGTTCATATCCCTGATGAGCCATGAAGCCGGCCAAGTCTAACCTACCTCACAGGACTGTTGTGAGGATAAATGGGAGGGTGGAAGGTGTGTTTACACCACCTTGAGAGCCTTTGAAATAAAATGGGATATACATCTAGTGCTAATAAAAGCTATTTAGGCCTTTCTCACTCCCTGTTGGGTGTGGGTGCGTTTTCTGCAGACCAAAAGCCTCGGATCGATAGTCTAGATAGCGCGGCCCTCAGCCTCCAGCTGGCGCTCAGGCAGGTGCGCCCTTGGCGACGCGCAGGTAACTTGCCGCCGCTCCTGGAAGCTCCGCTGCGCGCCACCTCCCTCCAGCCAGGTGCCTCTGCCGCCCGCCCGCCCCATCCACCGGCCCCTTCCGCGCGCCAGCGGCGGGTTTCTCTCCTTTTGCGCGCCCGCCACTCCCTTCCGCGCGCGGGGACTCCATTCCGGGGGCTGCCTGCAGCCGCGTACGTGAGGCAGCCTGTGCCGGGGACAGCCGAGGGGAGGGGACTGGAGGAGGAGGAGGAGGCGGCGGCGGCGGCGAGGGCGGAGGGAGCGGGCGAGCCGCGGCGGAGCTGGAAGGGGAATTTCAAAACAAGCTGCGCGAGGGAAGGAGGGAGCCGAGCTGGCAGGCGAGGCGGAGCGCGCGCGGAGCTGGTAAGCCGGGGAGGGGGCGCCCGTCGGGGGCTGGCGGCGCGGGCGTGGGGACTGATGGGGGTGGGGAGGGCTGGTTGTGCGGGTGGGCAACGCTGCTCTTGCAGCTGCACGGCGGTGAGAGAGGGGTGTGTGCGAGGGGGCGCGCCGGCGACGCAATCCTCTCGCGCTGCGCCCTTGCGCCCGTGCGCCCTAGCCAAGCTGCACGGGCCACTCCGCGCTGCCCGAAGGTGCGCACTCTTTCTCTCTCCACGCGTGCCTCCCTCGAGTCCTCCCCTCCTGCCGTGGCATGCAGCACCCCCCTCTTCTTCCAGGGAGGGCGATCGTGCGTGGATCCCCCCTCCCTCTCCAACCGTGCAACCTCCACTTGCGCGCCCCCGATCGCTGCTTCTCATTCGCGACTGCAGCCCCGGGCGCCTCCGCTTTCCCCTCGACGGGTTCTCGCCCGCCCTTTTGCTTTCCCCGCTGCAGGAAGCCCTTCTCCGCCGCCGCCTCCGCGGCTTTTTGCGCGCACACACGCCCGCCATCGCCGGTGATCGCGGAGTGCGCACTTGTGTTTTGCTCCCCGCGTGTTCGCCACGCCTCCGGGCCGTGGCGCTGTTTTGCACGGGCGGCGCGCGGCAAGGAGGCACCCGCGGGCGCTTTGGGCCCGGCACACCCCCTTCTCGCCTCCGCGGCCGAGCCTTCCCCGCACCCCCACGGGCCAGCTGGCACGCCCACCCCCGGGACAGCCGGGCTGTGGCACCGCGCGGAACGGTGGATGGTGGCGGACACGGGTCGGCATGCGCCACGCCCCCTCCCCTCGCGGCCATGTCGCGGTAGTGCACGGACCTCGCACCCCTCCCCGCGGGGACCTGATCCTGCCTCGCGAGTGGCGCCGTGCGTCCGGCAGGCCGCTTCCTCGGGGCGCGCCCGCGGGCATTAGCAAGGCGCCTCGATCGAATGAGCTTGGGAGCTTCCGCACGGACTGGGGCTTTAGGCATTTAGGTTGGTGATCGTTTGGGGCATTCTGCCTGCAGAGGAGAAGCTTTGCCGGTGAGCTGCGGCCCTGATCCGTGGCGAAGCAGGGGTCACCCCCTCTCGCCAAGATCCGCTTGTTTGCTGCATTTCTAGCCCGTGTTTACCTCCAAGGAGCTGAAGGTGGCATGCATGGTTCTCCCGCACCTTTAACCCACACAACAACCTTGCGAGGTCGGGCACCCAGTGGCTTCCATGACCAAGCGGGGGATTTGAGCCCTGGTTTTCACCAGGTCCTCCTCTGACGCTCTAACCACTGGGCCACACTGCCTCAAGTGGAGATGCTAGGGAACGAGGGAGGGACTTTCCGCATACATTGCAAAGTGGCTGCCGATTATTTTCCAGACCTAATTCAAAGTGCTTGTTTTGATCTATAATGACTTTTACGGCTCAGGACCGCAAGACCGCAGGGACCACCTCTCCCCATATAAACTGTCCCGGATTCTTCCTCCCCCGGGAGGTCCGGAGGGTGGCAACGGAAGAACGGGCCTTTTCTGTGGTGGCTCCCCCTTTGTAGAATTCTCTTCCCAGGGAGGTTTGTCTGGCATTTTTGTTATACTGTATATTTTTTAGGGGCCAGGCAAAGACGTTCCTCTTCCACCAGGCCTTGGGCTGATTAATATCCTACAGCCTTTTAAATGTACCTGTGGGGAAGGGGGTGTTGCTGTTTTGCTGTTCTGTTTTTATTATTTACTTGTGTTTTTACCTTGTATTCAATTCTGTGAACCGCCATCAGATGATGATGATAATAATAATAATAATAATAATAATATTTATATCCCACCCATCTGGCTGGGTTTCCCCAGCTACTCTGGGCGGCTTCCAACAGAATATTAAAATACAATAGTCAGTTAAACATTAAAAGCTTCCTTAAACAGGGCTGCCTTCAGATGTCTTTTAAAAGTCAGATAGTTGTTTATTTCCTTGACATCTGATGGGAGGGTGTTCCACAGGGCGGGTGCCACTACCGAGAAGGCCCTCTGCCTGGTTCCCTGTAACTTGGTTTCTCACAGTGAGGGAACCGCCAGAAGGACCTCGGTGCTGGACCTCAGTGTCTGGGCTGAATGATGGGGGTGGAGACGCTCCTTCAGGTATACAGTGGACGCTCGGGTTGCGAACGTGATCTGTGTGGGATGCACATTTGTAACCCGCGTCTGCGCACGCGCGGCTTGCGATTCGGTGCTTCTGCGCATGCGCGACCGCCGAAACCCGGAAGTAACCCGTTCCAGTACTTCCGGGTTTCGGCAGTCCGCAACCTGAAGCAGACGCAACGTGAGGTATGACTGTACTGGACCGAGGCCGTTTAGGGCTTTAAAAGTCAGCACCAACACTTTGAATTGTGCTCATCTTTGGATGAAGGGCGGTATATAAGTTTAACAAATAACAGTGAAATAATAATAATAATGTGATGGGCCAGTCATGGCCTAGGTAGGCTAATAGTTTGATCTGGGGTAGGATAGCTCCTTGCACATTGAGGGATGGAGATTCTGGTGTTCCCCTTCAAGACATTGCTGGACTCCCAACTCCCATAAGCCTTAGCAGCCAGCCTGGCCAATGGTCAGAGATAATGGGAGTTCTAGTCCAGCAGCATTGGAATGGCCACGCATGTTCCCTCACAGGAATTCTTGGTGGGGAGGCAGGCAGGGCCTTCTTGGTGGCTGCTCCCAGACTTTGGAACTCCCTTCTAGACTGGCTCACTCCTTGTTGTCCTTTGGGAACAGGGCCGTCTTAAGCATACCTGGCGCCGCGGTGCAAAGATCCCTCTGGCGCCCCCCCTTTCCCAGAGTTGACCTTTTTTTAGGGCTGGAGGAGGCGGGCAGCAGCTGGAGGGCGGCTCCTCTGGCGGGGAAAAGGCGGAGTCTGGACGTGGCACCTCCTGGCTCAGCTGGCTGCTTTGTGCCTCGGTGGCCAGGGCAGGCAGCACACCGAGCGAGCGGGACTGCGCCGAGCGAGCGAGGGCGCATGCGCCGCTTCTGCCAAGCACCAGCTTGGTCTTTTCCCTTTTAGCCTTCTGGTGCCCCGCAGAATTTGGCGCCTGCAGGATAAAAGGGAAAAAACCGAGCCGACACTCGGCAGGAGCGGCGCACGCACCCTCACTCACTCAGCGCGCTCGTTCGGTGTTCCCCAGACTCTCGCCTGGCGCCCTCCAGAACTTGGCGCCCTGCGCCACTAGCCTCAATGGGTAAGACGGGCCAGTTTGGGAACAGAATTGTGTTTCAAGCAAAGGGCTTTTAAGTGTGCTTTTAAGAGTATGATTGCCTTTTAGTGTTGGTCTTTCATGCTTTTTTACCTTTCTATATTTTATATGAGCTGTTGTTTAAATTTGCGTTAGCCATCTTGAGTCCTGGCCTGGGGGAAAGGCACAATATAAATACAGTGGTACCTCAGGTTAAGTACTTAATTCGTTCAGGAGGTCCGTTCTTAACCTGAAACTGTTCTTAACCTGAAGCACCACTTTAGCTAATGGGGCCTCCTGCTGCCGCCGTAGCACGATTTCCGTTCTCATCGTGAAGCAAAGTTCTTAACCTGAAGCACTATTTCTGGGTTAGTGGAGTATGTAACCTGAAGCGTATGTAACCTGAAGCGTCTGTAACTCGAGGTACCACTGTAAGTATTATAATAAAAACTGCCCTGAGATTTCCACGTATAGGGCGGTATATAAATTAAATAAATAATAATAATAAGAAATAAAACTTGTCATACTCATTCGGTAGAGCATGAGACTATTAATCTCAGGGTTGTGGGTTCGAGCCCTATGCAGGGGGTTGGACTAGATGACCCTTGTGGTCCCAACCCTGTAATTCTATGATCCTACTCATTGGGTGACAGGCCCCTTTAGGGCAGCCACTGCACTTTGAGATTTCCAGTCCTTTCTCCCCCATTATGGTTTTGCTCACATACACAACGCTGCAACATCTGGATGGCCCTTCGCCGTGCAACTTTTTTCTCCTGGTCTGGTTTAGGCCTGAGTGTGTCTACTCAGAAGTAAGCCTGTTGAACTCTCAGGCAAGTGTGCTTGGGATGGCAACCAGGGCCTTACTTCTGCCGTCTTCCTGAGGCTCTCATGAAGTGGCCACCTGTCAGGGATCCTTTAGTTGCGATTCCCGGATCGCAGGGGGTTGGACTAGATGACCCTTGGGGGCCTCCCTGCGCTACAATTCTGCGATTCTGTGGCCTGCTCTTTGCCAGTGGGGTTGTGGGTCCCGGCCCCAAGGCTGGCTAGAGTCCCTGCCCCTCTTATTTCAGAAGTGCTGAAGTGTCTTAAGGCCACCCATGAAGCTTTTGGGAGGCTGTAGGCCACGGAGACCTCTTAATTTTCTGGCTGGTGGGGTAAAGGAGGGTAGTTTTGTCAGCGTGGCCTTCAGCTGCTGACTCCTGTAGAGCAAACCTTGACTGTGGCCCTTTCAGGCTATGAATGAGAGCAGGCTGCCTCGAATGCAGAAAATGGCCTTGTGGCCACTCCTCTCTTCCTCCTTCCACTCTTCTCTGCCCTCTTCAAATATCTCAAGGGCTTTTCACAAGCTTCTCCCCTCCTGCTCTCGAGGGTAGTACCTGAACCAATGGATTCAAGTTCCAAGAAGGGAGATTCCGGCTAAATTTCTGACGGTGAGAGCCGTTCGACAGTGGAACAGACCCCCTCCGAAAGTGGTGGGCTCTCCTTCCTTGGAGAGCTTTAAACAGAGATCAGATGGCCATCTGCCAAGGATTTTTCAGCTGCAACTCCTGTATTGCAGGGGGTTGGACTAGATGACCCTTGGGACCCATTCCTAACTCTACGATTCTCTGAATCTTTTTTTTTTAAAAGAAAATTATTAGTTTTTTTAACATATCATTTTCCACAATTATTAAACATACTTTTACAGCTTATACATTTTTTTGACTTCCATCAATCACATCTGAAAATTTTCCAATCTTTTCATTTAATTTACATTTCTAACTTTCACTGTTACATTCAAATGCCATAACAAATGTCTCTCTTCTTTCTCTTCTTTGCAATCTTTCATATATTCCTCCTTACAAAACTTCTTGTAGTCCTACTAGCGTAGTTTGTTGATTACAGTTGCTCTTCAAATAGTTCGTATATTTCTTCCAATCTTACGTAAATCTCTGGTCCCGCAGGTTTCGAATCCTTCCTTTTTATCCAATTCTGCGTAGTCCGTTAATTTCGTCTGCCATTCTTCTTTAGTCGGAATTTCTTCTTTCTTCCATTTCTGGGCCAGCAATGCTCTTGCTGCTGTTGTTGCATATAAAAACAATTTAACTTCCTGTCTATGAATCTTTTTGGGCCCAGCTGCGGAAAGGATTGGAGCTGAGTGTTTTGGTGTCAGGTCCTTTTGAGATGGGTTTTGCCTCCTTCTCCCGTGAATTCTCCTACTCTCTTCTAGATTATATCTCAGGTCTTTTCCCTGGGAAGATCTGTGGTCGTTCTGAGTGACACGGCCACCTTCCTTGGGCTCTACCTAATGCCACGATGGAACTGAACTGAATTTATTGGCTTTATAGCATACCTTTTCCTCCAAGGAGCTCAAAGTGGTGTATAATCATACCTCGGGTTACAGCTGCTTCAGGTTGTGTTTTTTTGGGTTACAGACCCGCCGAAACCCGGAAGTACTAGAACGAGTTACTTATGGGTTTCGGCGGCTGCGCATGCACAGAAGCGCTAAATTGCGCTTTGCGCATGTTCAGAAGCACCGAATTGCAACCTGCACGTGCGCAGACGCACCACTGCGGGTTGTGAACGCTGTGGGTTGCATCCCGCACGGATCACGTTCGCAACCCGAGTGTCCACTGTACATGTCTCTCCCCGCCTCGTTTAATCCCAGCAACAACCTTGTAACGTAGGCTAGCCTGAGAGGCCCACAGTCAGTAAGTAAGCTTTGTGTCTGAAGGGGGATTTGAACCCACGTCTCCCAGGCAGCGTTCGAAATCTGCCAGACGTGTTTTGCACCCGACAGTTCGAAAGCACGTCAAAGTAGATAAATAGGTACTGCTCCGGTGGGAAGGTAAACTACGTTTCTGTGTGTTGTTCTGGTTTTGCCAGAAGCGGCTTAGTCATGCTGGCCACATGACCTGGAAATAATAATAATAATAATAATAATAATAATAATAATAATAATTTATTATTTATACCCCGCCCGTCTGGCTGGGCTTCCCCAGCCACTCTGGGTGGCTTCCAACAAAATATTAAAATACAGTAATACACCAAACATTAAAAGCTTCCCTAAACAGGGCTGCCTTCAGATGTCTTCTAAAAGTCTGGTATTTTTCTCTTTGACATCTGCTGGGAGGGCGTTTCACAGGGCTGGTGCCACCACCGAGAAGGCCCTCTGCCTGGTTCCCTGTAACTTGGCTTCTCTCAATGAGGGAACTGCCAGAAGGCCCTCGGTGGTGGACCTCAGTGTCCAGGTAGAACGTGAAAAACCGTCTATGGACAAAACGTCAGCTCCCTCGGCCAGTAAAGCGAGATGAGCGCCGCAACCCCAGAGTCGTTCGCGACTGGACTTAACTGTCAGAGGTCCTTTACCTTTACATCAGCCACTGGCGACCAAGTGTAGATGTCCGGGGGGCCAGGATGGTGCCCGCCGTCTCCTTCACCTGGAGCTGCATTCCTGGGGAATCCTTGGGTCTGGCCTGTTTTCACACACTAGCAATGCCTCCCGTTGAATTCCGTTACGTTTTTTATCTGCACAACGAATGAACTTCAGGAACAGAGAAGCCATCTTGAAAAATACGACTTTCGAGACGCCTAGCCCCCAAATGGCAACTAGGCATTCCGTTTTGGCGCCTGTAAACCCTGGTTTAAGGAGCCGTTTGGCTCCTAGCTGATATATCTGAGCTTCTAAGATTGCTCCCAGGTCTGGCACACTATGCAGATTGCCACACCTTTATTTGGCTGGCAGCTCTTTATATGCCCAATAGTATACCTGGCTGCTCTTTTTGTATGCTCACCTGTGTGGGTGTCTGTGCCACTGACGCAAAACATAGGTAGTCTGGAGCCGGGGAGGAATCGCCTCTTCGGAGCGTCTTTTTGGCAGGCGTCTGGTTCTGTGTGATTTCCCCCCTCTTAAACCACAGATGACTATCGCAGGCGTAATTTCAAGAGGAACAAGCCATGTTAGCTGTTGCAGCACGCAGCAAATGGCTCCGGTGGCACCTTGGGCGTCTAGCCCATTTTGCACGAGACCTTCTGCCACGATAAAATCGGTTGTCGCAAGGCCGCACGGTGTCACAAGACCTGTCGTCATCTTGCCACAGAAATGCCACACGGGGTGCCTAAAAATCCTTCTGCGTTAGAAACTTGCGTGGGCTTCAGAATGACGGTAGGCTCACACGAAACTGCTTTCTTTGGAGGATAGAGTTACGTGCAGCAAGCGGCAATAGCAAAATGATAGAATGCCCTTCATCTCCCTGCACATGGAAAGCTAGCAGGTCAAGGATAGTTTGCTATGTGTCAGGAGGTTGTTTTCTGTGGCAGTCGACCGATTCTTATTGACAACTCTCTTTAAAAATGTTTTTATCTATGCAGTTGTTTTAACTGGTTTTATGTATATAAACTATTTTAATTATGTTGTAAATTGCTTTAGGATGCTGCTGTATTTGTTTGTTATTATGGTATGTGTTCTTCTGTCGTTATATTGTAAACTGCCCTGGGGTCTTCAAATGCGGGGTGGTGTAGAAATCTAATAGTAATAAAAATAATTAATTTGGCTTTTTGTGCACTGTGCCGACTGGCTTGCCACCGTAACATCACAAATATATCTTTCCCCAGAACCAAAGTGTTCTAAAGCCAGGTTTGAGGCACTCAGCCTTATCTATACTCACCTTTGGCAATTTGCTCTACCTTGCCTATAGTTTTGTCACCTCTAAAAGGGGCGTAATTTTAAAGGTGGTCAGTAAGTCATATCCTAGCCCTCACTTCCCACCGGAAAGGACCGTGGGAGGAAGGGATACTATCACCACTGCCACCCCCACCTATTTTCCTCTTCCCTCTCAACCCATTTTCCTTTTGTGTCGTGTCTTTTTTTCCAGTTTTGTAGGCAGGAATGACATTATGAATGATAGTTCCAAGCCGATCTGGGCAATGGGATCAAATGCTTTCAGCAGCTTTCCAGTAGGCTATATATGCGCTGAGGGACGCGGGTGGCGCTGTGGGTTAAACCACAGAGCCTAGGACTTGAAGATCAGAAGGTTGGCGGTTCGAATCCCCGCAATGGGGTGAGCTCCCGTTGCTCGGTCCCTGCTCCTGCCAACCTAGCAGTTCAAAAGCACGTCACAGTGCAAGTAGATAAATAGGTACCGCTCTGGCGGGAAACTGCATTTCCGTGCGCTGCTCTGGTTCGCCAGAAGCGGCTTAGTCCTGCTGGCCACATGACCCGGAAGCTGTACGCCGGCTCCCTTGGCCAATGAAGCGAGATGAGCACCGCAACCCCAGAGTCGGCCACGACTGGACCTAATGGTCAGGGGTCCCTTTACCTTTACCTGTATATTCGTTGCGTGTGTTCCACCGGCCCTTCAAGCTCCCCTATCTCCTTCTCCTCTTGCACCCTGGGTGCCCTTTTCTAATATCCCATTGCCGGCTCCTTTCTGCCTCTGGGCAAGAGCGCCACACCCCCCTCTGTGTAACCACCCTCCTCCCTGTCTCTCTGCCGGAATATGCTGAGGCTGTCAGATCTAAGTTTACAAGCTGCAGGCTTTCCTTCAGAGAGAGCTGCTAATCCTTCCCTTTTCCTTCCTGGAGACTTTGACTGTTAACTCTTTCGCGCAGCGGCCTTTAGGAAAAGAGTGGCGTAGCTGAGCAGCAGAACATCTGCTTGGCATGCGGAAAGACCCACGTTCTGAACATCTCTATTTTTTAAAAAAATATTTTTATTGGTTTTTAACATACAAAATTATAAAACATACCACACAATTTATCACAAATACATTCTTATTGGACTTCCATCAGCACCTCTGATAGTCCTCCGTCTTAATCACCTCTTACGCATTTCCTAACTTAATATTGCCTTTACATCTCTTAACATATCGCATCTCCTTCTCAATTTTTGCAATATTTCTAATATTATTCCTCACAGAACTTCTTGCAAACCTACAAACGTCGTCTGATCATCACAAATACTTTTCAAATAATCCGTAAATTTACTCCAGTCCTTGGTAAACTTCTGGTCCCGCCGGTTTCGGATCCTTCCCGTTAGTTTATCAAGTTCCGCATAGTCCGTTAATTTCATCCTCCATTCTTCCATCGTTGGTAATTCTTCTTGCTTCCATTTTTGGGCCAATAGTATTCTTGCCGCTGTTACTGCATATAGAAAAAGCTTACATTCCTTTCTATTTATATCGTTTCCAACAATACCCAAAAGAAATGCTTCTGGTTTCTTTATAAATGTATATTTCAACATTTTTTTCAACTCATTATATATCATCTCCCAGAAGCATTTCACCTTTTTACATTCCCACCACATGTGATAAAATGTTCCCTCTTTTTCCTTACATTTCCAACATTTAACGTTCTGACCATCTCTAGGATGGACTCGGAAAGGTTCCTTTGCCTGAAACACTGAAGTGCTTCTGCCGGTCAGTGTCAACGGTATTGAGCTAAATGGGTCAGAGGCCTGGTTGCTATATTGCAGCTTTCTCTGTCCTGCGAATGGCCCTGGCACAGTGGCAAAGCTTTTTCCTTGCAGGGAGAAAGTCCCAGGCTTGACCCACAACCTCTCCAATAAGGACTGAGAAATACTCAGTGCCCGAAACTCAGAGAGCAGCTGTCAGTCAATGTAGATCACATCAGTGGATCTCAAACCTTTTTCTCTGGGCCACTCTTTCAGAATGAAAATTTGCCGCGCCGATTTTTTTATCGATAAGGAATAGGCCGGAAAACAAAAAGAAACAACAGTGCTTGATTTATAATATAGAACACAACTACTTCATAATATTATCAGAAAGTATAAAACAACACAGCTACCTAAGAACACAAATCATTCCCAAAATATAATTAGAAACAGGCCTCTTACATATGTACCTTAAGTATGTCTACTCTACAAACTCAATCAGAGGCGTGAGCTTGCTTTTGCCGGCTGATTTCATTTATATTAGGTTTAATTTGAGCAAGCAAACTCTCCTCCTTGTTGTTGTTTAATCGTTTAGTCGTGTCCGCCTCTTCGTGACCCCCTGGACCAGAGCATGCCAGGCACTCCTGTCTTCCACTGCCTCCCGCAGTTTGGTCAAACTCATGCTGGTGGCTTCGAGAACACTGTCCCACCATCTCGTCCTCTGTCGTCCCCTTCTCCTTGTGCCCTCCATCTTTCCCAACATCAGGGTCTTTCCCAGGGAGTCTTCTCTTCTCATGAGGTGGCCAAAGTCCTGGAGCCTCAGCTTCAGGATCTGTCCTTCCAGTGAGCGCTCAGGGCCGATTTCCTTCAGAATGGAGAGGTTTCATCTTCAATGGATAGGTTTGACTCTCCTCCTATTCGGCACAAATAAGCCTTTCACTTTTCTGATCTGTCATATTTGTCAGAGTTGAAAATTGCGGCTCACAATAATATGTCGCAGAGAACTGTAGAATAGCCAATGCTTTTGAAGAGAGTCATTTTGGTTGTATATCCAGAAGGAGTCCAGCGGCATACTGCCGTGTGAAACTGAGACTTGGATAGCTGTCCACATATTGTTGACTAACTTTCTTTTTTGGCGGTTTGCTCGTCGAGTCTTCTGCAGCGCTCTGTTCGAACAGCGATTCTGGATCTTGATTAGGATTGTCCTCAGTTTTGCTTGATGCTCTTGCTCCCGTTTTGAAAGGAAATCTACCCATATTCTGCAAATAAATTAAAAAATACTTTGATAATGTAGTATACAGTGGTAACTTGGTTCTCAAACGCCTTGGTACTCAAACAAGTTGGAACCCAAGCGTTGCAAAGCCAGAAGTAAGTGTTCTAGTTTACGAACTTTTTTCAGAAGCCGAGTATGCTCCGTTTTGAGTGTTACAATGAGTTCTGTCTGCTTTTGCTATTTATTTTGCCTTTTTGTTTTTGCAGCTCTTTTTGTTCTGTTTTTGTGACTGCGTGGAACCCAGTTCAGCTACTGACTGACTGCTTGTGTGACTGCAGTACGTTGTTTATTGCTTTCATTTCATGGATCAGTGGTCTCGTTAAATAGTAAAATCCATGTTAAATTGCTGTTTTAGGGGTTGTTTTTAAAAGTCTGGAACGGATTAATCCATTTTGCATTACTTTCTATGGGAAAGCGCACCTTGGTTTTGGAACGCTTTGGTTTTGGAACAGACTTCCGGAACGGATTAAGTTTGAGAACCAAGGTACCACTGTGCTGCACTGAAATGTTTCCATGTTTATCTGATTGTCCTTGAATCTTCCCTCCACACTTGCCTTCCTCTCTTGCCGTTTTAACCTCACTGTGTGCTGTGTTGCATATGTTATCTTTGCAAATATGTACATAGCCGCTAAGCAGGGCAATCTCACCTGGACGTAAGCTGTACGGAATTCGGTGGGATTTACCTCTGAGGAAACGTGTACAGGATTGCGATGTTACAAATCATTTGGGGGGGAAATGTTGTGCTCAGGTTCCGAGAGGGCAACCTGTGAACCTCAAAACGCTTGGCTCAAATCTCAGCTGAGGATTTTGTGGGTGATTGCCACCTGCCTCAGTTCCTCTGTCTGCAGTATGGGAGCAAGAACGCGTCTCTCAAAGTTGTGTGTTAACACATGTCTTTGTGATGTGCTTTTGGTACTTAATCAGTGCTCACGGCTGGAGGTTGTTTTTTTTTAAACAATAATATTTATTAAGTTTCATATAAAAGCACAACTTCAACATAACAGAAAAAGGTAAAACAACAATGAGAAAAAAGAAAAGGAAAAAACCCAAAGAAGTAAAACGTTTCCAACCCCATAATACCACCACATACATAGATACAATAAAACTTGATGAATTAAAATCCAACTTCATAAACATATTACTTGACTTCCTCAAATCTCTTCCAACTGAATTTCTTTGTAATTGATTGTAGCAGTTTCCAATATCATTATTTCATATAACAATAATCCGGTCATAATCATATTTCCTAACTTTTCTTATGGAATAATTTTTATTTATTTATTTAGTCCCTATTTAATCCCAAGCCTAATTAATTCTTTCAAGTAGTTACAAATCTTTAATATTACAATATTTATTCAAATAATATTTAAATTTCTTCCATTCTTCTTGATATTCCTCTTCTTTCTGGTCGCAGATTCTCCAGGTCGGCTGGAGGTTGTTATAGTGGTTGCAACATTGCATAGCCTAGTTTAATGTTGTGTAGCCTATTAATAATGATAATATTTATTTGTTTATAGCATTGCTATTCTGCATCATGGGGTGGTTGTATTAGACAACGTCCCTTCCAACTTGAGGGGGTCTTTGTGGATCTCCCCCTCCTTATTTAACCCCCACAACAACTGTGAGGTAGGCTAGGCTGAGAGGCAGGGACTGGCCCCCAGGGGCACCCAGTGAACGTCGAGTGGCGAGATTTGAACCCAGGTCCCTCCCAGGTGCTAGTCTGACTGACAATCTTCACCACTGGCTCTCTAGATAAGGACAGAATGGTAACATCTCAATGGTAGTAGCATTTCACGTTTCACCTGCATTTAAATGGCCAAGCAAATTTTGCAGAGGTTGTGTATGGTACTTCAATTTTTATTTTATTTTTTAAAAATACATACAGAAGCTAACGGTGCGGTCCTGTGCGTGTTTACTTGGAAGTAAGTTCCGCTGTCTTCAGTGGGACTTACTCCCAGGCAAGGAGTCTAGAGTCAGCAGCCTAGGCGGGCCTTACTTACGAGTAGGTCCCCTTGAAGACAGCAAAGACCTCTGCCTTGCGACTCAAAACACAACCTTGCGGCACAAAACTTGTGACATCCCCTGTGAAATTTCGGGTCACTGGCAGCTGTGTGGGTGGGTGACCAAACTCAATATTTGCTGACTGGAATAAAACTTTGGCACCAGGAAACTGGATTTCGAAATTCACGGGTTGCGTTCTGATGGCCTCCGGGATGAGTTTACCTGCGTTTTGAGGTGTGAGTTGTCACTTCCTCTCCATTGACCTGGGAGCCTAAGACCTGGACATTGTACTTTTGAAGATGAACAAGTTGTGTGTTTTTTTACACACAGACACAGAATTTTGAATCCCGTGATACTTTGCCTGCTCTGAATAGTCTTAATATAGTTTTTACAGTTGCTTTCAATCAAAGAGTTAAAATTTTGCTCAAAAATGCTTCGGGCGTAACAGACTTTCTGGAGTGCTTCAGTAAATAGTTGGTGTTGGGTTTTTTTGAGGCATTTTTTTAAAGGTTTGCTTTACTTGGTTTCCTAGACATTTCACCATTCAGTGCTAGTTGTATAGGGCACAGTTTTTGCAATTTTCCTGCCCCCTACGGACCACTTGAAAATTGTGGAGGGTCTTGATGGACGACTTAAATCTTTCTCTATAACGCAGCGTGCAAGGAGCTGTACGATTTTCAAAAAATTTTTTAACAGAGCAGCTGAAAAGCTTGTGGACCGCTGGTATATTAAAACAACGAATCGTTTAAATTTTATATTACGTCTTTTTGATTTTAATGATCTTTTCTATTTGTGTGTATGTGTGTGTATGTTTCATGTTTCATCTGTTGTTTTAATTTGTGTAAGCCAGTCTTGGGGGGGGGGGGAGGCAGGATATAAATAAATGCGATGATAATGATGATAATCTGAAGGCAGCCCTGTTTAGGGAAGTTTTTAATGTTGGATGTTTTATCGTGTTTTCTACATTTCTGCTGAGAGCTGACCAGAGTGGCTGGGGAAACCCAGCCAGATGAGTGGGGTAAAGGTAAAGGGATCCCTGACCGTTAAGTCCAGTTGCTTACGACTCTGGGGTTGCGGCGCTCATCTCACCTTATTGGCCAAGGGAGCCGGCGTACAGCTTCCGGGTCATGTGGCCAGCAGGACTAAGCCGCTTCTGGCGAACCAGAGCAGCGCATGGAAACGCCGTTTACCTTCCCGCCGGAGCGGTGCCTATTTATCTACTTGCACTTTGAGGTGCTTTTGAACTGCTAGGTGGGCAGGAGCAGGGACCGAGCAACGGGAGCTCACCCGGTCGCGGGGATTCGAACCGCCGACCTTCTGATCAGCAAGTCCTAGGCTCAGTGGTTTAGACCACAGTGCCACCCGTGCACTGTCATACCTCGGGTTAAAGTCGCTTCAGGTTGAGCGTTTTCAGGTTGTACTCCATGGCGACCTGGAAGTAACGGAATGCGTTACTTCCGGTTTTCACCGCTTGCTCATGCGCAGACGCTCAAAATGATGGCACGTGCAGAAGCGGCGAATCGTGACCTGTGCACACGCAGACGCAGGTTGCGTTCTGCTGTGGATGCGAACGGGGCTCCGGAACGGATCCTGTTCGCATCCAGAGGTACCACTGTATTATTATTTATAATAATGGTAGTAGTAGTAGTAAAAAAATAAATAAAACCAACATAAAAATATAATAAACAGCAGCACTGGCTGTTGTCCTGCTGCCTCCCTGTGGAGGGTGGGGCACATTGAGGCTTTTGTTGTGTGAGCAGAGCATGGGACCAGACCTAATCTTCTGATTTACTCATTGGGTGACCCACCCACCTGTCCGCCCCCTGCAGGTATTGCAGGTATGCAGTGCTCTTGCAAAGAGAAGGGGTGTGTGAGAGAGATGGAGAAACAAAGAACAGAATGGAAGCAGAGAGGGGAGGCGTTGGCTGTCCTGGTTGACTTTTTCTTATTCATAGCTTTATCGCCGTATCTTTTTGTAAACAACCACCGGGGAATCTCCCTGCAGGGTGCTGTGGGGGAAAGCCTTCGCCCGTGTGGTTCTCAACAGATTACAGTCTCTTGCAGACAGTCACAATGCGGCTTTAGAGCTCAGAGGTCGACAGTCGACATGATTTCCTCGTTGCGCCAGCGGCAGGGAAATGCCAAGGGCACAGAAGCCCCCAGGACAGCATCGCCTTCGTAGACCTGATGGAGGCCTTTGACCTCGTCGGCCAAAAAGGACTCTTCACTCTGCTCAATGAGATTTCCACCTGAGCTTTGCAAGAAGATTGTATCCTTCTGCAAGAACACACAGCACTATACAATAGGATGGACACCTTCCCTACAGAGAGTGGTATGAAACAGGACTGTGTTCTTGCCCCAAACCTCTTTGGCATATTCTTCTCCCTTTTGTTCTCCAAGACTCTTGAGAGTCCCATGGACTGCAAGAAGATCAAACCTCTCCATTCTGAAGGAAACCAGCTCTGAGTGCTCCCTGGAAGGACAGATCCTGAAGCTGAGGCTCCAATCCTTTGGCCACCTCATGAGAAGAGAAGACTCCCTGGAAAAGACCCTGATGTGGGGAAGGATGGAGGGCACAAGGAGAAGGGGATGACAGAGGACGAGATGGCTGGACAGTGTTCTCGAAGCTACCAGCATGAGTTTGACCCAACTGCGGGAGGCAGTGGAAGACAGGAGTGGCTGGCGTGCTCTGGTCCAGGGGGTCACGAAGAGTCGGGCACAACTAAATGACTAAACAACAACAACAACAGCTCGAGAAGAGGACCCAAACCAACGGATTCAAATTACAAGAAATGAGATTCCAGCTAACCCTTATGAACAGGCATAGGTAAACTCGGCCCTCCAGATGTTTTGGGACTACAACTCCCATCACCCCTGACCACTGGTCCTGTTACCTAGGGATGGTGGAAGTTGTACTCCCAAAACAGCTGGAGGGCCGAGTTTGCCTGTGCCTGCTTATGAAGAAGTTTCAGACGGTAAGAGCAGTTTTGGCAGTGGAACGGACCCCCTGGAAAGTTGTGACCCCCCTTCATTTCCTGACCTGCCTCACAGAGTTGTTCTGGGGATTAAAAGAATCATCGTTACCGATTTGAGCTTTGAAGAAAAGGCGGAATATAAATGTAGTAGGTCGATAAAACAAACCCAGGTGTGGTGAGGTAGCGACTGCAGCAGGATTTCACCCATAGCATCCATAAAATGGGCATTTTGTCTTGTTTCATGGAGTCGATTTCAGACTGAAGAGCAGCCTGAATTCGCATGCATGGCTATTAAAAGGGCTTTCTGCACCGTCAGAATTCAGTGGCCTAAAATTATCTTGGAAGATTTTTTAGCCCGCTCCGTCTGGAAGCCCAGACGGCTAAGAACAGCTCCTTACTCAGCAAAGCAGCAATGCTGTAAGACGGGCCCAGACTGATCCCATTTCGCAGATGAGGGCATGTCCGCCACAGAGTAGAGGCTGCTCAGAGCCATGAGATATTTTTAACTGGTTTACTGGAATTATTTATATCCTGCCTTTCTAGCGGTATTGTTGAGCCAAGTTCTGAACCCTGGACTTGCCAAGTCCCAGTCCTGCGTCTTAACTTGGCTTTCTCTTTGAGCAGGCCAGCATGCTCATCCCTGACTGTGATGGCTGGTGAGCAGGGTCTGTCCAACCCCTTAGACCAGTGGTGGCCAAACTCGTCCCTACAGATGTTTTGGGACTACAATTCCCATCATCCCTGACCACTGATTCTGTTAGCTAGAGATGATGAGCGTTGTAGTCGTGAAACATCTGGAGGGCCGGGTTTGGCCACCACTGCCTTAGACCTATTAGTACAGTGGTACCTCAGGTTAAGTACTTAATTCGTTCCGGAGGTCCATACTTAACCTGAAACTGTTCTTAACCTGAAGCACCACTTTAGCTAATGGGGCCTCCTGCTGCCCCCACACGATTTCTGTTCTCATCCTGAAGCAAAGTTCTTAACCCGAGGTAATATTCCTGGGTTACAGGAGTATGTAACCTGAAGCGTATGTAACCCGAGGTACCACTGTAGTAGTAGTAGTAGTAATGATAATAATAATAGTAATAATAATAATAATAATAATAATAATTTAGTTGTACTCCGCCCACCCATCTGGTCAGGTTTCCCTAGCCACTCTGGGCGGCTCCCAACAGAATATTAAAAACTCAATAAAACATCAAACATTAAAAACTTCCCTAAACAGGGCTGCCTTCAGATGTCTTCTAAATGTCAGATAGTTGTTTATTTCTTTGACATCTGGTGGGAGGCTGTTCCACAGGGCGGGTGCCACCACCGAGAAGGCCCTCTGCCTGGTTCCCTGTAGCTTTGCTTCTCGTGGGGAGGGAACTGCCAGAAGGCCCTCGGAGCTGGACCTCAGTGTCCGGGCAGAACGATGAGGGTGGAGACGCTCCTTCAGGTATACTGGGCCGAGACCGTTTAGGGCTTTCAAGGCCAGGCAGCACAGCAGGGTTTGACACCTGTCAGCATCACTGAATGTCCACAAGTTGTTGTGTTTTGAGAGTGGGAGAAGAATGTCTCTCTAGCCGCTTTCTGCACGCTAAACATAGTTGCATAAACCTTTATCGTGTTGCGTTTTGCTTGCCTTTTCTCTAACCTAAGATGTCCTAAGCGTCGCAACCTTCCCTCCACCCCCTTGATCTTTTGAGTCACCATTTTGTACACCTTTCCAACTCCTGCTACCATCGTTAGTGCGTAGCGGTGACGGGAACTGAAGAGAAGAATAGGCTACTGGATCTAGTCCAGAGGAGCACCCTGTTGGCTAAACTTGTTCTCAACCCATTCCTCCAACTTTTCACCATCTCGATCCCTATCAGATTCCTGGATATGAAGTGATTTGGGGGGAAAATTAAGGGAAAAGGCTATGGAGATAAGTTGTATTTGCATTCCTATCTGGCTATGGTCACCTTCAGGGACGCGGGTGGCGCTGTGGGTTAAACCACAGAGCCTAGGACTTGCCTATCAGAAGGTCGGAGGTTCGAATCCCCGCAACGGGGTGAGCTCCCGTTGCTCGGTCCCAGCTCCTGCCAACCTAGCAGTTCGAAAGCACGCCAGTGCAAGTAGATAAATAGGTACTGCTCCAGCGGGAAGGTAAACGGCGTTTCCGTGCGCTGCTCTGGTTCGCCAGAAGCGGCTTAGTCATGCTGGCCACATGACCCGGAAGCTGTACGCCTGCTCCCTCGGCCAATAAAGCGAGATGAGCGCCACAACCCCAGAGTCAGTCGCGACTGGACCTAATGGTGAGGGGTCCCTTTACCTTTATGGTCACCTTCAGATGGGCAATATAATCTGGGAGAGATCCAGGCACGTGCTGGAATCTGAAGTTTGCACAGTTAAAAGTGGATTAAAGTGCGCTGCTGTCCTAGCGCAACACACCCATTTTAAAAAGGGGTTTGGGGAGCGATGACGAAATGCGCGTAAAAGTGTGGGATGAACAAATGGTTAATGGGAAGATGCATGGCATGTCAGGATGTCGTTGTAGACCCGCCCCGTGAATAAATTGGAACGTATGCTCTGTAGAGATTGGACACCGTCTAACCTCCGTGGAAGCTTTGCGCAAGTGAATCAGGATGAGCGTTCAGTAAATGGGTCATTTGGATGAGCCTATAGCAAGGGGGTGAAGCCCCTGGATTGAGACATGTCTGTCAACTCCGCCTAACTCCAATTCAAACTTCCATTTCGTTGGGAATGTTGTCAAAGAACCGCTCTTGGGAGTTTCGCTTTCTACTGGAGCATTCTGGAGATTAGCTTGAGGTACCAAAGTTTTCCTTGTGACCCAGGCCCACCATCTTTGACGGGGGAATTGCAGCCTCTTCATCCCATGCAATCATTGTCCTTTGCTGGCGATGCGATGGCAGGATCCCCTCTGAGTGTTTGCAGAGGGCTGCACGTGTGGCAATTAAAGCAACGTAAACCCAATGTACTTTATGTTGTTTATAATAATAATAAAATTTTATTTATATCCCGCCCTCCCCAGCCGAAGCCGGGCTCAGTGAACTGAAATGTTTTGTAATGTAAACATAAGGAACTGATTTGCCGATAATAAGGTGAAATATTATAATTTGACAAAGGGTAAATAAGTGAAATGCAAAGGATATGGAAAGTTATGTGGAAGTCAGAAAGAGGGAGGGAAGGAGGCCGATGCTCTTACAGAGTGATATATTAAGCCATAGAATTATGTAATAAAATGTGAATATGATTTAGTGGAAAACTCAATAAAAATTACTTTAAAAAAGAAGACGAGAGAATGGAGGTTTGGTGGTCCCCTGTATGGTGCCCGTCTCTGGTGCCATCCCCGAGCCAGGCCCTCTGCACATGCCCAGAAGACATGTTCTCTCCGCTGCAGATTCCAGAGCTCTGATTGAGCTCGGGCTTCTTCTGGGAACCTTGCTTGTTCGGCTGCAGCCTTCTTTCAATACAGGCGGAATTGTTGCCGAATTTTGGAAGCTCAAACTTCTGTTTACACAGCCGAGGCTCATCCGGTTGTTGAAAAAGCCATCCCTCCGCTTCTCGTCTGCCGCTTCCTGCCAGCGCTGTCCCTGGGGGGCGAGGGGGAGACGGACGCGTGGGCACCGGCGTTGCTTGCCTGCCATCCTCCCGGCTTGTTTTGCTTTTTTAAAAAAGCTCCCCTGGTCAAATGCAAAATAAATGAATATCTCTACTATACTTGGCTGCACAAACACTCGCTGCACAAGGAAGCTCTCTTTCTCTCCTGCCTCTCTGCCACCGCTCCCGAGACACCCCAGGCTTGGTCAAACCGCATTGAAAGCAGCTTCTACTGGGAAGGCGATTGTTGTTTGAGAGGCCCCTGCGTTTGGGACTGGGGGGCAGGTCTCCCTGGTGCCTCTCTTTGGGCTGGCTCGGCCTCCCCGCTCTGTATTTTTAGACATCGCGCAAGGCCGCCAGCACACAGCTGACGGCTTGCTGCAGAGCTTTTCATCGAACAGAACCGTGGAATTGTCGAGTTGGAAGGGACCCCATGGGGGCATCTAGTCCAACCCCCTACGGTGCTTCGACGAATCGAATTCCAGAGTTTCATAGAAACACAGAATTGTAGAGCTGGGAGGAACCTTGAGGGTTGTGTAGTCCCACCCCTTCAGAGCGGGGATCCTGCCCACAGCCATCCCTAGGTGGGCTCTGTTATGTACTGAAGTTCTCACCTTGGGCCAGCAGGGGGATACTGTAGATAGTTCAGGTCCACATATGCAAATAAGGGCTCGAAAGTGACGTTCAGTGATTGGATAGTTACAGAAAGTTGTTACAGTTACGTTGTAGTGGAGCTCTATATAAGCAGGCTGGCTGAACCCTTCAGTTCAGTTCTGTTCTGACCTGTGAATAAACAAGAACTGTTTTGGAGAATCGCTGTGTCGTCTGATATGTTCACCCACAATTTAACAGGCTCGAACCACCAACCTTCTGGTTAGTAGCCAGATGCATGGACCCATCGCGCCACGACCACCCGTGGTGTTTTTGGAGTTCCCACAAAAGATGGCTGCATGCAAGGTGGCCCAGTCGGACCTGCAGAGCTCAGTCTGTTGGGAAGTTGTTACTTACTAGACCCAGAAACTCCAGCGGGTGCAGAATGCCGTGGCGAGGCTTCTTCTTCTTCTTTTTTTTTAAATGATATTTATTAAGAGTTTTTAGAGTTACAAAAAAGAAACAAGGAAAAAGAAAAAACAAAGGAAAAACAAGCCACAATCAAACAATACAAATTGAAAAAAATCAGAATCAAAAGATAACACATCACAATCAAAAAAACAAAAATATGCCACAAACATTTAAAAACAAATCCAATATTCTCAAATCCTTAATTGTCATTACCTTCTTTCTTTGACCTCCTCACCCCTCCCTTTCCCCCCCATATTTCATAATATTCTATCATTTCATTACCTTAATCTATTTTAATCTTATCTTACTATAAAAAACCTTAAAATTTAAAACTTAGATCTTATTTATACCAATTTCTCATAACCATAATATTCTTACATAATTCTTTAAACATTTTTGCTAAAGCCAAATAATTTCGTTCCAACATTTTTCCAACGTTCACCAATTTTATAAAACAATCCTAATAATTTTTTTCCCCTTTTCTTCCAATCTTCATCCTCTTCCTCCTGGTCCCGGGTTTTGCCAGTCCTTTCTATCTCATCAATCTGGCACATTAACCTGGTAATCTTATGTCCGAGGCCCTTAAGTCCCTTCCATGTCCCTTCCGCGGCTCTTCTTCATATTTATACCAGTACTTTACTTTGTCTCCTGCTCCTTTCACTTGTGGGAACTCCAACTTAACAATGTTTTTGACCCTTCTCAACAAATCAGCCCCTTTTCCATAGTCCCCAGTAAACTCCATGTGGTATTTAAAAACATATTTCAAAGTCCCTCCAAAATTAAGAGCCCCCACAACCCCAAACATCTCACGGCCCATTGCCAGACTTGAAAAGTCCAAACATCTCTGCATAGGGGGGTCTATCCAGCCCCCCCATTTCCAAACCAAACCAAACTTTATCTTTCCAAATCTGGCTTTTTCCAAGTTCATTTATCAAATCCAAGAACTCATGTTCCTGCTGGGCTGCAGCTCCCTCCATCTCTGGCGCCCAATGTTCAGCAACATCCTCTCTCATCTGTTCTGTCAAAGCACACTCCTGATTTAAATCCTGGGTGGGCTCTATATAATTTCCCACTGCCTGTCCAAAATTTCTGATCGCATCAGTCATCAAGTCCGTCTTCTCATATAGCTTCTCATAAGGAGTGCTGTTCTAACTCTGCTTGAAGGCCTGGCTTGTGCTTTTGAGAACTGTGACACTGGGGGGGGGGGGCGTTTCTGGAGGTCAAGCCAGAACATTTGTATTTTGCATTGCCTTACTCCATCAAAGCCCATTCGGCCGCTTTGTGCATTGCAGTGGGTTGGACTAGATGACCCTCTCAGGGGTCCCTTCCAACACTACAAATCTGTGATTGGCAGAACCGGCATGGTTACAGTTTCCGCGTTTCGTAGAATCATAGAACGGTGGAGTCGGAAGGGACCCCTGGAGGTCATCCATTCCAACCCCTGGCAATGCAGGAATCTCAGCTAAAGCATCCAGGACAGATGGCCAGCCAAATTCTGCTTGAAAACCTCCAAGGAAGGAGAGTCCACCACCTTACAAGGAAAACTGTTCCACTGTTTAGACAGAATCTCTCCTTTTGTAACTTGAATCCGTTTTTGGGTGGCATAATCAGTACTCTGGAACTCCCTGCCACTTGACATTAGGGAAGCGCCTTTACTATAGTCTTCTTGATATACTATATTTTTGAATATACTATATTTTTGAATGTTTTGAAGCATCGTTTTTACTGATACAGTGGACGCTCGGGTTGCGAACGTGATCCGTGCGGGATGCGCGTTCGCAACCTGCTGCATTCGCAACCCGCACTTGCACATGCGCAGGTTGTGATTGGGCGCTTCTGCGCATGCGCGGCCGCCGAAACCCGGAAGTAACCCGTTCTGGTACTTCCAGGTTTTGGCGTCCGCAACCCGAAAAACCACAACCTGAAGCGGCTGTAACCCGAGGTATGACTGTAGTTTTACAGCGTTATTCTCTTTGTAAGCCTCTTTAAGGTTTGTTCGTTTTACAACCGAGAGGTGGATAGATTTTATGGAGAAAACAAATGTGAAAATGCAATCTCCCGTGACCTAACCTTTGCTGCCCCTTTTTCTCTCTGCAGCGGGTCCGAAATGGCGAGTGTTCTCTCCAGGAGGCTTGGGAAGCGGTCCCTGCTGGGCGCCCGAATTTCCGCTCCCCCCTTGCTGGGGGACGGGGTGCTGATGATGGCCCAGCTCCCTCCCTTGCAGACGGAGCACCCCAAAGAGTCTCCTCGTCTGGCTTCGTGTGAAGACGGCCGCTTCAAAGAGCCCGTCGGAGACTCTGGCGGTCAGGGCCAGAACTGGCCACTCCTTCAACCGGGCCAAAAGGTAACCGAACCAATTTATTCTGTTGGGTGTGGTAGCATGTAAAAGGGGTTCTGGTCCTTGTCAATATCTCAAATTATGCATGATTTCCCTCTATTACAGCTATATTCCAGAGTGAGCGATTTCATGTTTTCAGGTGTTGTATACAGCTTTGGTTTTTTTTCTTTAAAATGTAAAGCGCTATATAAATGCAGTGCTTTTTTCCTTAAAAAAATGTTTGGGAGTACTCTCATTTTCCTACTCATATTGAAATACTGCCCCTCAACGAGGCCAAACTTCGATTCGCAAAATGTATAGGGGTATCCGTTCCCCCAGAAAAAAGCACTGTATAAATGAATTTTTTTAAACATAAGGCCATTCCCACCAATTATGCATCAACAAACCATAGTTGCCTTTGATAAGACATACCGTATTTTTCGCTCCATAGGGCGCACCGGACCATAGGGCGCACCTAGTTTTTAGAGGGGGAAATCAAGAAAAAAAATCTTATTTCCCCCCCAGCCCCAAAGAGCAGCGTACAGGCTGCGCGCAACCTCTCCCTGCCGGAGGGGTTGCGCGCGGCCATGGCACAAGCCAAGGCAGCGAGCGGGATGGATCCCGCTCGCTGTTTTGGCTTCCTCTTTAGCCCCGCGCAACCTCTCCCTGCTGGGAGAGGCTGCGCAGGGCTAAAGAAGCCATAGCCGTGTGCAGCCTCTCCCTGCCGGAGGGGTTGCGCACGGCTATCCCTGAAGCCTTCCGAGCGCAGTGCAAGTTCCCGCTGCGCTCCTCAGGCTTCGGGTTCCTTTTGCTGAAGCCGGGAGAGCAAGACTCTCCTGGCTTCAGCGAAAGGAACCTGAAGCCTCCAGAATGCAGCGGGAACTTGCGCTGCGCTCCGAAGGCCTTCAGGCGGCTATCCCTGAAGCCTGGAGAGCGAGAGGGGTCGGTGCGCAACGATGCCTCTTGCTCTCCAGGCTTCAGCGAAAGCAACGGGAAGCCTCCGGAGCGCAGAGGGAGCTCTCCCTCTGCGCTTCGGAGGCTTCGCGTTGCTATCGCTGAAGCCAAGGAGCCTGCATTCGCTCCATAGGATGCACACACATTTCCCCTCAATTTTTGGAGGGGAAAAAGTGTGTCCTATAGAGCGAAAAATACGGTAACTGTCCAGGGATCCTTTACCTTGTTTACCTTTTTACCTGTGGTTGGCCACTTTGAGATGTTGGACTAGATGGGCTCTTGGCCTGATCCAGCAACCTCTTAGGATTTTATATGCAGATGCTACTCTGAGCCAGTGAGTCTGGTCCCCAGCTAATCTATCCTCCAAACAGGCTGCTGTTTTATCTCTCGTTTTCTGCTGCCCATTCCATACCGGCTTGTACATTACAGCACCTTCAGTCTTTCCATAGGGTAACCAGAGTTCTCTATAAATAGCTCCCAGGAATAACTATCACAAGTGGGCCCAGATACAATTACATACGTAAAAATAGACTTTGGGAATTAAGGCAGTGGCTCTGTGTCCAATTAGGTCACTGTGGAGAGGGGAAACCCATCTAGGCCGTGGATATCAGGTCTCCCAGATGAGCTTGTCCCAGCTGGATAAATGGGTCATAGAATTGTAGAACTGTAGAGGCAGAAGGGACACCAAAGGACATCTAGTCCAGCCCCCTGAGATGCAGGAATCTCAAGCACAAGTGTCTGCTTAGAACAGAATAGAATTTATTATTTATACCCCGCCCATCTGGCTGGGTTTCCCCAGCCACTCTGGGCGACTTCCAGCAGAATATTAAAATATAGTAATGCATCAAACATTAAAAGCTTCCCTAAACAGGGCTGCCTTCAGATGTCTTCTAAAAGTCTGGTACAGTAGTTGTTGTTCTCTTTGACATCTGGTGGGAGGGCATTCCACAGGGCGGGTGCCACCACCGAAAAGGCCCTCTGCCTGGTTCCCTGTAACTTGGCTTCTCGCAGGGAGGGAACCGCCAGAAGGCTCTCGGCGCTGGACCTCAGCATCCGTGCAGATTAATGGGGGTGGAGATGCTCCTTCAGGTATACTGGACCTGCTTGTTAGGATTTCGGATTCGTTTTAAATGCATTTGTGCTTTCAGTTATCTTAGGTGTGAATTGCATTGAGACGGTGCTTCGGAAGTCAGTGAACCCAACAAATAGCGGGAATAATAACACAGCCTTTGCTAGTCAAACACCCTCTTCACTCCTGCTAGGCTGAAGGTGCAATTGTCTTCAGGACACTGAGAGGGTAGCTCAGTTGGTAGAGACCACAAGGCTCTTAATCTCAGGGCCGTGGGTTCGAAACTCCATGTTGGGCTAAAGATTCCTGCATTGCAAATGATCCTCGTGGTCCTTTGCAAAGCTATGATTCTATGACACAATGGGGCCTATTTTCAGGGGTTTAGTATATTTTATTTCTCAGATTTGCACGCTTCCCTTCATCCTTAAATCTCAGGGTGGTTTGCAACTTGAAAACCCAAGGCATGAAGAAGTATGGCAAGGAAAATTGATGGACTTTGTAGAACTGGCAAAACTGACACATAAACTACGGGACAAGGATAACTGTGACTTTAAAGATGAATGGGAACCTTTTACAAAGTATTTAAAGACGCAGCAAAGTGAATTGGACTCCTTGGCAGGTTTTGATGAAACACTCACAAACTTTTTACAGTGTTATCTCTGGTTACATACGCTTCAGGTTACAGACTCCGCTAACCCAGAAATATTACCTCAGGTTAAGAACTTTGCTTCAGGATGAGAACAGAAATTGTGCTCTGGCGGCGCGGCGGCAGCAGGAAACCCCATTAGCTAAAGTGGTGCTTCTGGTTAAGAACAGTTTCAGGTTAAGAACGGACCTCCGGAACGAATTAAGTACATAACCCGAGGTACCACTGTATTGATAACAACCAGTTAGACAAATTAAGGATCTATACAAATCTGTAACAGGCAGAGAATAGCATTTATAGAGAAACCAGAGATTGGAACGGAGGGAAGTCAGGGTGGGGTGGGTTGTTTTGTTTTACAGGAGGGGGGGATGGGGGGAATTAAGGATGATATGTGTTTAAGATAACATGTTTTGTTTAAATTGCTAATAAAAAATTATTAAAAAAGAAAAGAAAACCCAAGGCATAATAATATACACTGGGCTTGGGGGTTTGAGCCCGAAATGGCCGCCGTGACGCTAGAGCGCCTTTCCTCCTCCCTTTATAGGTCTACGTCTTCTACAAAGGGCAAGAAGCCCCCGGCTTGGTGGAACACCACGACCTCCTCAGCAACGAGGTGAAGGTGCTTCTTCTGGAACAGGGCTTCTATGTCTGCCGGAAAGCCGAGGAAGTGAGACTGGCTAACATCCAGGCCTTGCCTCTCCCAGCCCTGGAGATGGACCTCGGAGCTCCTGCCACGACGGGCTACGACGCCGTCCCAGTGGCCATGGACCACAGACCGACCACGGAAGCAGCTGCTGCGGCAGCACCAGGACCCAGGTCGGTCTCTCGGAGCATCGACGTGCCAAAAAGGTGAGTCCCGGATGTTTTGCTCGTGGCTGCGTAATACTCATTTCCTTACGACGTGGATTGAGTATTCTTTTAGCGTCACCAAAATGGTGGCCCCCAGATGCATAGCTGTCAACTTAACAGATTTGAAAATAAGGGACCAGCAGCCTCGAAAATAAGGGACCAGCAGCCAAAATAAGGGATTTTAGTCTACCAGCTGAAATACGAAGTTATAAGGGACCAGATAATTTTGGAGAGCAGCGCCGGTTTTTAGCCCTTCGTTTCCAGAGGTTGCTGCTCAAGACACCAGCTGATGAAATACTGCAATTAAAGAACTACAAGCAGCAACCACTTTTTGCGCAAAACGAAGTCCAAGCTACGAAGATGCTGCTGCAGTTCTGCATCTTTTCTCTTGTGTTCCATCTGCTGCTCTCAGTTCCATCAGGCGGGGCAGGAGGAAGGGGGGGGAAATAGTGCCCGAAGTAAACCCGCAGATCAGACCATCTATGCTAGTCTCCCACTACAGATCTATGGGAGAAGCGCTTGCGGTCCTTCCTCTGCTTTCCTCCTCTACGGTTAGCCCTTGGAACACCTGCCTGCGCCTCCGCCGCCTCCTCCTCCTCCTCCTCTCTCTGAACTGCTTTCTCTATGGTTGCGCTCGCTCTCCTCTCAAGGCCCCTCAGCAATTCATAGGCCGCGCCAGGCTGCCCATCTCATCTGGGTCCTTCGGCAGCGCAACCGCAGTACGTCCTAGCGAGAGCGGCGGCGACGGGCAGAGGCGCTCAGGAGGAGGATGGCGGCAGAAGGGCCCAAGGCTCCCGCCAGTCCTGGCGGGGAGGGGCTCCCGGGGGCCAAGGCTGGCGAGAGGAGGCCGGAGGGGGGCGGGCCGGGCAGCCAAACAACACAGTTGGAGCCTCCTTCCTCCCCAGCCGGCAGGGAGGGAGGGAGAGGAGCTGCTTCCTTTGAAACCTGGGGAATTTAAGGGACATTCATCAGTAAGGGACAGCAGCGGGACACGGTGCTGGGATAAGGGAGTTTCCCACCAAATAAGGGACAGTTGACAGCTATGCCCAGATGTTTTTTTTCCAGCTTCCTTTGGTTTCCAGAGCAGCTTGCAGTGATAAGACCTCCTTAAAAACATGGACCGCCATTGTTAAAACAGCTGCAAACGGCTGCCCACTTCCTCACTGGAGTTCTTGCCTTTCGAAGGAGTTGGGGCGGCACTGCTGTGCCTTGTTAAACTGGGGTGCAAGTTGGGAGGTTCCTAAAAGGTGTCTTAAGTCCACCCCCCCCCCCGTGATGCACGAAATCTGTTACAGCATCCATCATCAAGCATGTGGTTGGAGGATGGATGGCGGTTGGAGGATGGATGGCGGCTAACAGGTTGAGGTTGAATCCTGACAAGACAGAAGTACTGTTTTTGGGGGACAGGGGGCGGGCAGGTGTGGGGGACTCCCTGGTCCTGAATGGGGTAACTGTGCCCCTGAAGGACCAGGTGCGAAGCCTGGGAGTTATTCTGGACTCACAGCTGTCCATGGAGGCGCTGGTCGATTCTGTGTCCAGGCCAGCTGTTTACCAGCTCCATCTGGTACGCAGGATGAGACCCTATCTGCCTGCAGACTGCATTGCCAGAGTGGTGCATGCTCTAGTTATCTCCCGCTTGGACTACTGCCATGCGCTCTACGTGGGGCTACCTTTGAAGGTGACCCGGAAACTGCAATTAATCCAGAACGCGGCAGCTAGACTGGTGACTGGGAGCAGCCGCTGAGACCACATAACACCAGTCTTGATAAACCTACATTGGCTCCCAGTACGTTTCCGAGCACAATTCAAAGTGTTGGTGCTGACCTTTAAAGCCCTAAACGGCCTCGGCCCAGTATACCTGAAGGAGCGTCTCCACCCCCATCGTTCAGCCTGGACACTGAGGTCCAGCGCCGAGGGCCTTCTGGTAGTTCCCTCATTGCGAGAAGTGAGGTTACTGGGAACCAGACAGACGGCCTTCTGAGTAGTGGCGCCCGCCCTGTGGAACGCCCTCCCTTCAGATGTGAAGGAAATAAGCAGCTATCTTATCTTTAAAAGACATCTGAAGGCAGCCCTGTTCAGGGAAGTTTTTAATGTTTGATGCTGTATTGTTTTAACACTCCATTGGAAGCTGCCCAGAGTGGCTGGGGAAACTCAGCCAGATGGGCGGGGTATAAATATATTATTATTATTATTAATATTATTAATATTATTATTATTGTTATTATTTTATTTTTTCATTAGTTCTTTGTAATGTTCAGTCTCCCTTTTCGTGTAACTGCAACCTGTTCTGGTCTCCCACAGAGTTTGCATAGCAATAGCAAACAATACATCGCCCAGGACCGCTATGAGGAGCAGAGTGCGATGGCTGCTTCGCCCAGCGGTATATTTGGGGTGTGTGTGTGTGTGTGTGTGTGTGTGTGTGTGTGAAACTGCCGCGTGCTCCTCAGCAGAGCAGCTTAAAGGACACCCCCCCCCAGCTCATGTGATCAAGAGGCAGGGTAGGGTCTCTGTTGAACCAATGAAGCCCAATGTTTTGACTCTGCAAGGCAACTTCCCGTGTTCCTAAATCGGGCAGCAGTTTTCAGGGTCTGGGGAGGGCCCCATCCTGCTTCCAGACACTCCTTTTCATTGCAGATGCTGGTGACCGAACGTGGCACCTTCCTTAGTAGCCCCCCCTTGCCTACCTCTGAGTTGCAGCCCATCTGCGTTAAAGCAGACCAAGACATTGCATGGCAGCCCAAGCTGGAAATTCTAATGAAAGCTTTCTTAACTCCTGGATACAACTAATGCTTAATTTAAAAAAAAAAAGGGGGGGGGGGAAGCTTTCTCTCCTGACTCCAGGTACGTGATGTTCTCCAGATCTGCTCTCGGGGGCTGTTTGGACTCGCCGCTTAAATAATTCATTCTGTTAAAAGCGCCTCTTATAGATCTCTCTTCCTGGAGAAGCGGGCGAGCCGAGTTCAGCTTTCCGTGCAGATTTTGGGGGAAAGAGGCCTGGACTTTCCTTGACCCCCGTGCCGGTTTCAAAGCTGCCTTCTTTTTAAACGCCTGCTAAAAACCAACCAATTAAATGTCCTTTTTGAAACCCTCCATTCATTGCTGCCTCGTTGAGTCGATGCTTGCCGTCGTTTCACGACACCATCCTGAAATGCCTTCATAGGATCAAGGCGTAGAGCGATTCTTCCGCTGTGGTTCTTGCATTTCATTGGGGAGTACCTTCCAGTTCGACGATTCTAGTTAGAAGAGACCCAAGGGTCATCTAGTCCAACCCCCTTGTTGATTGGTTTGGTGGTTTGCACCTGTCTGTCTCGGGAGACAGTGGAGGAATGCGCTTTTTTGGAGGGGGGGGTCAAACTGTTGGAAGATTCTTTTTCCCCCCTGGTGCAGAAATTCAGCCAGCTTGTTGAGCGATACTCTGAGCTCGAAGCACCCATTGAAGCAAGCGAGGGACAGTGGCGGGTCAGTACTTTATAGACAAGGGACTGTCCGGCTCAAGGCAGGCAGTAGCTGACCAGCGAGACACGGTGATCTCTCCCACCTACGAAGGCAACCTGTGGCACGCCTGCAATGCAGGAATAGCAGCTAATAATAATATTAATAATAATAATAATAATAATAATAATAATTTATTATTTATACCCCACCCATCTGGCTGGGTTTCTCCAGCCACTCTGGGCGGCTTCCAACAAAGTATTAAAATACAGTGGTCTGTTAAACATTAAAAGCTAGCAGCTACATTCTATTCGGCAGCTAGACTGGTGACTGGGGAGCGGCCGCCGAGACCATATAACACTGGTCCTGAAAGACCTACACTGGCTCCCAGTACGTTTCCGAGCACAATTCAAAGTGTTGGTGCTGACCTTTAAAGCCCTAAACGGCCTCGGTCCAGTATACCTGAAGGAGTGTCTCCACCCCCATCGTTCAGCCCGGACACTGAGGTCCAGCGCCGAGGGCCTTCTGGCGGTTCCCTCGCTGCGAGAAGCCAAGTTACAGGGAACCAGGCAGAGGGCCTTCTAAGTAGTGGCACCCGCCCTGTGGAATGCCCTCCCACCAGTTGTCAAAGAGAAAAATAACTACCAAACTTTTAGAAGACATCTGAAGGCAGCCCTGTTTAGGGAAGCTCTTAAAGTTTAATAGGTTATTGTATTTTAGTGTTTTGTTGGAAGCAGCCCAGAGTGGCTGGGGGGACCCAGCCAGATGGGCGGGGTATAAATAATAAATTATTATTATTATTATTATTATTATTATTATTTATTATTTATTATTTATTATTTATTATTTATTATTTATTATTTATTATTTATTATTTTATAAAAGCTTCCCTAAACAGGGCTGCCTTCAGATGTCTTCTAAAAGTCTAGTAGTTGTTCTTCGCTTTGACATCTGGTGGGAGGGCGTTCCACAGGGCGGGTGCCACCACCGAGAAGGCCCTCTGCCTGGTTCCTTGTAACTTGGCTGTTTGAAACAAATGCAGGCTGTTCAAAGTGTATCAGCAGGGCTCGAATCCTGGCGCCGTTTCTCCTGGGACGTGCTGGTTTCCCACCGTTTTTGTATGCATGGAAGTTGGCTTCATATTCAGCCCCCCTCCACCCTATTCTTCGGTCTCTCGTTGCAGGAAATCAGATGCTGCTGCTGTGGAGATGGACGAGATGATGGCAGCTATGGTGTTGACCAGCTTATCCTGTAGCCCTGTGGTCCAGAGCCCCCCAAATGGTGATGCTGGCATCCCAGGTGAGCTTGATGCGCCGAGATCGAATAGGAAGGACACCGTGGCCTAGTGGCAAGGGACACAAGGTCCCAGGTTCGGTCCCAGGTGTCTCCAGGTAAGGCTGGCAAAGGCTTTCCATTTTCATTGTCATTCTGGTCTCCCTGCTCCTCCACAACAGAGCAATGGAAAGCAAATTTGCTCCATATGGTTGACAATCCTTCAAACACAGGGTGAAATCATGGGGTGCCTTTGCCAGCCAGTTCAGATGTCCTGTTTCCTCCGTGGTCACAAAGCATTCAGACTCTCCTCTCGATGATTTAGCCGAAGGTTTTGTTCCAGAAAACAGCATGTGACCTAAACATAGATCAGGTGATTGATTGATTGATTGATTGATGGACTACTGATCATTAAATTTCTGTGCGGCTTAATAGATTAAAACATACGAGAAAACTGAAGCGACAACAGACGACTTAAACATGAAATACTGCAAAAATACACGGTTGCGCATAAAACGTTGCATTAATGCAAAAATACTAAAATACAGTGGTACCTCTGGTTACGTACTTAATTCGTTCCGGAGGTCCGTTCTTCACCTGAAACGGTTCTTAACCTGAAGCACCAATTTAGCTAATGGGGCCTCCCGCTACCGCCGTGCGATTTCTGTTCTCATCCTGAAGCAAAGTTCTTAACCCGAGGTACTATTTCTGGGTTAGCGGAGTCTGTAAACTGAAGCGTCTGTAACCCGAGGTACCACTGTATATAATATTTTCTTTTTAACACGCCCTCCCTCTCAGCCTCCAGCTTTTCACCAGGGTCCAAACAAACTCTCAGCTCACCCCAAAAATTCTCACCACGAGGAGTTCCTGAAAACAGTGTTCCTTGCCCTAGTCTCTCACTCTAGATTTGCTTTTTATGGACAGCTCAAGGTGGATAGTCCTTAATCACGCTGCCCACAGCTGTGTCCCATTCAGCTGCCCTCTCTACACCCAGTTCCAGATGTGGCAGGTTTGGTGGGTTTCCGGCCCAATCGCCTTCTCAATCCGGCCCACGGACTGTCTGGGAATCAGCGTGTTTTTACATGAGTAGAATGTGTGCTTTTATTTAAAATGCATCTCTGGGTTATTTGTGGGACATAGGAGTTCGTTCATTATTTCCCTTCAAAATACAGTCCGGCCCCCCACAAGGTCTGAGGGACAGTGGACCGGCCCCCTGCTGAAAAAGTTTGCTGACCCCTGGTCTAGAGGATGGGAAGAGGGGCCCCTTCCACTCACCGCAGGTTACGTGATCCTAACCCTGCGAAAATAAAAAATAAAATCCAAAGAGCTCAAGGTGTCATATGAGGCTTCCCCCTCCCCCATTGAATCCTCCCAACACCCCTGCGAGGGAGGTTGGGCTGAAAGGCAGCGATTGGCCGAAGGTCACCCGGCGTGCTCAGTGGCCGAGCGATTGGATTTGAACCCAGGACCTAGCCTGACGCTCTAACCCAGGCTTCCTCAACCTCGGCCCTCCAGATATTTTGAGACTACAACTCCCAGCATCCCTGACCACTGGTCCTGCTAGTTAGGGATCATGGGAGTTGTAGGTCAAAAAAAAATCTGGAGGGCCAACGTTGAGGAAGCCTGCTCTAACCTGTGAAAAAAAGACAGTCACGGAACCAAGAAATTACACAAAACAAAATAATTGCCGTGAAAATCCCTGAAATGAGAGGTAATCGACTATAGAATTGAATAACAAAAAACAATTTTTTTTGGGAAAAATTAACCGAGAATTAAACAAAGACTTAACGAGATGCCGGCCACAAAACTCGTTTCACTGAACTAATCAGTTTCCTCAGAAGGAAATAAAGAATTTTAAACCTTGAATGATTTTAAGTGATATCAAACTCAAGAGCAGGGCTGAGACACTTCCTTGAGTTTACAAAAAAAGGTATAAAAACCTCAATGACAAGTTTAAAACATAGCCTTATTTAAGAGAACATTATAAACCTTAAATAGTTTTCAGTGATTTCCAGCAAACTCAAGAGCAGGGCTGAAACGCTTACAAAAACGGTTTTAAGAAAAACTTACAAAGGAATACGCGATAAGCTGTTTAAGTTTCAAACAAACTCAAAAACAGGGCAGGAACTCAAAAACAGGGCTGAAGCGCTCCTGACTGCTGATGTTAAAGATTTAATCCCCCCCCCCCACTGCTCTAACCACTGAGCCACACTGTCCTGGATCAGGACAGTGGCTCGTCTAGTCCGCAAGCAGGCCCTGAACGAGAAGGCACTCAATTTCACCCCTCCAACAGCTGCCCCATCTCCCTCCGAGGTCTGACGGGACCCCTGTGCTCCCCCTGTGACCGTCTGGTTCAGTCGCCTTCTCAAACCAGCCAGGAGATGGTGGCTGAACTTCGCTGGCCGAGGAAACCGCCAGCCCAGTCCCTTGAGGGTGGCTGTTTGTGACCGTCTGCTTCCCTCTCTGTGCCCTCCGCCCGGCGCTGCCGTCGGACAGCTGCTTGGAAGGGCAGCTGGCCGCATTTGGGACGGTGTCTACATTCCTAGAGAGAGGCACGGAGCACGTAACCCGACTCCCGGCCGCCGTTTCCAGTCGGATGCCCGGGCCTATTATGGGAGCGACGGGTCGTGGGGCACCCAGAGGAGCCGGCGTCTCTATTTAGAGGTGCTGCCCAGGAATCAAGTTAAAAATAGGACTCTGCCAGTGTGGGAAAGGCCATTGATCGACTTGAGTTGGCAGCGCAGTTGTGGAAACTCAGAGCGTGTGGGATTTATTCTCTTGTCCTCCTCTACAGATGCAAATTTCGCAGGTGCGATCCTGTGGACGCCTGCTCAAAGGTTATCCCTTTTGAGTTGGTTAGGCTTTGTCCAGCAATGTCATACCCAGCTTAGGACTATGGAAATAAATTTACTGTATTCTTTGCTCTATAAGACTCACTTTTTCCCTCCTAAAACGTAAGGGGAAATGTGTGTGCGTCTTAATGAGTGAATGCAGGCTGCGCAGCTATCCCAGAAGCCAGAACAGCAAGAGGGATTGCTGCTTTCACTGTGCAGCGATCCCTCTTGCTGTTCTGGCTTCTGAGATTCAGAATATTTTTTTTCTTGTTTTCCTCCTCCAAAAGCTAGGTGCGTCTTGTGGTCTGGTGCGTCTTATAGAGTGAAAAATACAGTACTTAAGTCATTCATATATCAGTTGCTGGAAACCGCAGGAAGCGACAGCGCTCCTGTATTCGAATCCTGCTTTCGGGTTTCCCATAATGGGCATCTGGTTGGTCACTGTGAGAGGTGGAAGCTGGACCAGATTTGCCATGGGCCTGATCCAGCACACTCATCTTACGTTTGTTAAATTGCTGTCTGAAACATCTGGAAGACACCAGCCTGAAGAAGGCCTTTTGAGCAAGACCTCTGATGTAGCCCTACCCCATAAACAACCCACAATATTCCGGTGGAATCACAAAATTGTAAAACTGCTTTTCCTTTTTTCCGCTAGGTGTGCATATGCTTTTCGGTAATGGATAATTAAAAAGCAAAAAAACAAATAAATTTACAGATCAATTGTAAACAGATTAAAAACATTAGCAGGATCATTGTAATAACCCACAGTTTTATAAGAGTATGTATTTACAGTAGATAATTTAAGTGAGCAAGTTGAATGAATTTGGATATCAAAAAACAAATTTAAGGAACCGCAGAAAGAGGGGGGAAGGAAGTCAAATTTTGAAATGTTAATTTGATTGTGAAACTAATGAAAGGTATAAATTTGAAAAGTATAAATAAAAAACAAAAACAAAACAGAGAGGTTCATAGATGGATGGATGGATTGAATGGCCATCTGGAGAGGGTGAGATTTGAACCTGCGATCCTTTGCATGCAGGGCAGATTTCCTGCTGCTGAGCCACAGCCTTGGCCCTCCAGATGTTTTGAGACTACAATTCCCATCATCCCTGACCACTGGTCCTGCAAGCTAGGGATCATGGGAGTTGTAGTCCCAAAACATCTGGAGGGCTGAGGTTGAGGAAGCCTGGCCTAGTATCGGGGGGGGGGGGAAGCAATTCAGAAAAGACGTTGACGGGGGCTGGAACTGGACATAACTGTGAGCCAAGTGCCAAAGCAATTCGCGTATTGTTTCTCAAGAGAGCCGTGGGGTTGGAAGGGGTTCCCGAGGGTCATCTAGTCCAACCCCCTCTTGTCCTCTGTTTCCCAGCATCCCAAGCGGCGGGTGATGTGTGGAAGGAAAGCGGAGACATGTCGGACGGGGGCAGTAGCAGCACTAGTGGGCACTGGAGCTGTATGTCTACCCCGTCTCCACCCCATTCTGAGGCCAGCCCCAAGTACTCGAGCGAAGCCTTCAGTTCTCCCCGGCCGGATGACGGCTTTGAGACGGATTTGGACCCCTTCCTCTTTGATGAGCCTGCTCCGCGGAAGAGAAAGGTAGGGGGCACAGAAGTGGGAGGGGCAGTGGCTGGAGAATTGTCCCACGTAACGCGGATTCTTCGCTGCCTGATTTTTTTGTGACTTTCATTAGGTAAAAGTAAAGGGACCCCTGACCATTAGGTCCCGCCGTGACCGACTCTGGGGTTGTGGCGCTCATCTCGCTTTACTGGCTGAGGGAGCCGGCATTTGTCCGCAGACAGTTTCCAGGTCATGTGGCCAGCATGACTAAGCCACTTCTGGTGAACCAGAGCAGCGCACGGAAACGCTGTTTACCTTCCCGCCGGAGTGGTACCTATTTATCTACTTGCACTTTGATGTGCTTTCGAACTGCTAGGTTGGCAGGAGCAGGGACCGAGCAACGGGAGCTCACCCCGTCGCGGGGATTCGAACTGCCGACCTTCTGATAGGCAAGCCCTAGGCTCTGTGGTTTAACCCACAGCACCACCCGTGTCCCTTTTGCGACTTTCATTAACTTGCTGTTAAACTGTGGAATTCCCTCCTGCAGGAGGCAGTAATTGCCACTGACTATGATGGCTTTAGGGAGCTCAACCCGTCATTGCGGGAATTCAAACTGCTGACCTTCTGATAGGCAAGCCCTAGGCTCTGTGGTTTAACCCACAGCGCCACCCGCGTCCCTAAAGCCATCATAGTCAAAAACAAAAACAAACCAGAAAAAAAATCATAACCAGATTAAACCATAATTTTTTTGGTCGACTTCGCTCCACTCCGTCTCTTGGCTTTATTATAATATACTTGTTTATGCATGTCCATAAATCCTTATATACTTAACAATCCAATTTTAAAACCTTCATCTTATTACAAGTGACTTTTGAAAGTTATACTATTGTAAGGATCTATACACAAAGCTTTAAAAATATGCATTGAATCGTTGCCCTTTTTTATAATAATTTGTCCTGGATAGTTTAGTACAGTCATACCTCATGTTACGTTTGCTTCAGGTTGAGCGTTTTCAGGTTGCGTCCCGCGGCGACCTGGAAGTACCAGAAAGGGTTACTTCCGGGTTTTGCCACTCGCGCATGTGCAGACGCGCAAAATGATGTCACGCGCATGCGCAGAAGCGGCGAATCGCGACCCACGCATGCACAGACGCAGGTTGCGTTCTTTTCAGGTTGCGAACGGGCCTCCGGAACGGATCCCGTTCGCAAGCAGAGGTACCACTGTAGTTTATAGATTTTAAGCCAAAGGTGTTTAATAATGGACAGTGCAGATGCAGAGGAAGGATTGCTCCCTGTTCTGGATGCGTAGAGCCTCAAACCAGCATTCCTGCAGTCTCATGCCACTTCTAGTTTCCTAAGGAGCAATTGCACCAGGGAAATAGAAGCTCCTGGTCTCGCTGAGGGAGCTCGTTTCCAAGAGCTTGGGGTTGTGACGCTTTTCACCTCGAGGGCCGCATTCACTCCTGGGCAGCCTTTCAAGGGCCACATGACAGACAGAAGGCTGGGTGGCGTAACACATCTCAATATTGCCATTGTGCAGCAGTTTCGATTTGACTCTCTTCTCTGCCCTCCTTCCGTGCAAGCGAGAGACATCACTGACGTTCTAGGTCCCATTCCAGCCAGTCGAAAGCATTCCAGAATGAGTTGGGGCAGGGAAATCGGTGGAGATTTCCTAGGCCAGGTGGAGAGGCTGAGAAGGGGACACGTTTGGGATTTGTGCCCAAGCTCCTCCCTGCCTCATCCCGTCCAAGTGGAAGGGGAGGAGGAGGAAAGTGAGGGGTCCCCAAGTGAGGGGTGTTTTACTTGCTTGGTTTTGCCTGCAGACCTGAACCAGGTGTGTCTCTCTCTCTCCTAGAATTCTGTGAAGGTGATGTACACCTGCCTGTGGCCCAGCTGTGGAAAAGTCCTTCGCTCCATCGTGGGGATCAAGAGGCACGTGAAGACCCAGCACTTGGGGTGAGTAAGGCCCCAAGACCCTGGCCGAACGGCATTCACGCAGAGGGAAGCGACACGGTGTTGAGATTCCTTTCATTGCAGCTGGTTGGGCTAGATCAGCAATGTCCAACAGGTCGATCACAATCGACAGGTCTCCTTTGGACTGCCGGATGGAAAAAGAAATGTGCTGGAATTCTCTGTCCCCCTCCGTCCTTGTTCTGTCCATGAAATGGGGGGGACGTTACTGAAAAGAAGCTTAGTCCTCTTAATTGCGTCATGTTGTGCGGTAGATCACTGCCAGTTGTTTTATGCTGGGAGTAGATGAACTTGGGACGCGGGTGGCACTGTGCGTTAAACCACAGAGCCTAGGACTTGCCGATCAGAAGGTCGGCGGTTCAAATCCCTGTGACGGGGTGAGCTCCCGTTGCTCGGTCCCTGCTCCTGCCCACCTAGCAGTTCTAAAGCACGTCAAGTGCAAGTAGATAAATAGGTACTGCTCTGGCAGGAAGGTAAACGGCGTTTCCGTGCGCTGCTCTGGTTCGCCAGAAGCGGCTTAGTCCTGCTGGCCACATGACCTGGAAGCTGTACACTGGCTCCCTCAGCCAATAAAGCGAGATGAGCGCCGCAACCCCGGAGTCGGTCATGACTGGACCTAATGGTCAGGGGTCCCTTTACCTTTAGATCGTGCCTGGGCTAGATGAATTTGGGGTAGCGTCCAACTCTCTCGTTCTGTGATGGAACTCGGGCACTATTGATGGAATCAGAGGCTCCAGATGTGCCTGATTCCAGATATGGAACATCTGTCGGCAGGTGGCCTTCCAAGCTGAGCTCCTCAAGATCAGTTGCTGTACCTGCCTGCTTGAGGCGTTGTTGTTGAATCACAGAATTGTAAAGGTGGAAGCGACTCCCAAGTGTTACAGTTGTCCCCATTGGGTTGTCACAGCCAGACATGGTGGACGCCGCGACTGGCGTAGTGGCCAGAATTGGAGCTTCAATTTCCAACCACCTGGTATTTATACCAAGGCTGGCCAATCCGGAGGTGCCATGCTCCCTGCCAATCGCAGCTGCCCACATTGCCCATTCCTGTCCCATTTGCGAGCCTGAAAGAGAACTGAAAGGTGTAATAGAACGATTGGAACCTTATACCATATGTGGTGGTCATGTCCCGAAATTAAGAAATATTGGAATACGATACATGAGGAAATTAAAAAGCTAATAAAAACATCACATAATAAAAGAGCAGAATCATATTTATTAGGAATTTTGAATGGAGACATCCCGAATGACAAAATTAATATTTTATTGCCCCTGACAACAGCAGCAAGAATGTTAATAGCCAATACAGTGGTACCTTGGGTTACATACGCTTCAGGTTACAGACTCCGCTAACCCAGAAATAGTACCTTGGGTTAAGAACTTTGCTTCAGGATGAGAACAGAAATCGTGCTCCAGTGGCGCAGCGGCAGCGGGAGGCCCCATTAGCTAAAGTGGTGCTTCAGGGTAAGAACAGTTTCAGGTTAAGAACGGACCTCTGGAACGAATTAAGTACTTAACCCGAGGTACCACTGTAATTGAAAAGGAAATTACGTTCCAACCAAAGAAGAATGGCTGAATAAATTATGTGAATACTTGGAATTAGCAAAGTTGACTGATTTGATAAGACAAAACCCAAAAAATATAATCCAGAAACAATGGAAATGTTTAAATGATTATTTATGTAGACAAAGATTAAATGTAAGGTATTGGTTGTGTTTAGAATAGATTTATGAAAGATTTAGAAAACTTATTGATAGGAATATTTGTGTGAGATTGTATGGGAAAAATACGAAATAACAGATACTATCTTGCTTTACATGTATATAGGAAGTGCAGTGTAAGCGATGGAAGTCAGCCAATGAAATTTTATTATTGAGATATTTGTAGTATAAATTTGGAAGAAATTCTTCCAACTTTTTTTCTTCTTTTTCTCTTTATTTTTTCTTTTCTTCCTTTTCTCTCTTCTTTTTTTATATGTGTGTGCTTATCTGTATGTATGTATTTGCAATATGTTGCATACATTTTGCAATAATTACGTTAAATAAATTAATAAAATAAAAGGGTGGAAAATGAAAAAAAATGAAAGAGAACTCCGAGGCTTGGGCATCCCCGGAGAATTTGCCCCCAAAAGCACAGCGTCATCTCTGAGCTCTGAACGACGAGCAAAACAAAAGGGGAAACTGGGAGGTGGGTGGTTAATGCTACCTGGGCTGTTCTGTAGTCGAGAGAACGATGCTTGTCCGTTTGATCTGGGGAGCTGATGGAGAAAGGGTGCCTCTAATTTAAATTAGACTACTGCAATGTGCTCTACGTGGGGCTACCTTTGAAGGTGACCCGGAAACTGCAATTAATCCAGAATGCGGCAGCTAGACTGGTGACTGGGAGTGGCCGCCGGGACCACATAACACTGGTCTTGAAAGACCTACATTGGCTCCCAGTACGTTTCCGAGCACAATTCAAAGTGTTGGTGCTGACCTTTAAAGCCCTAAACAGCCTCGGTCCAGTAGACCTGAAGGAGCGTCTCCACCCCCATCATTCTGTCCAGACACTGAGGTCCAGCACCAAGGGCCTTCTGGCAGTTCCCTCAGTGCGAGAAGTGAGGTTACAGGGAACCAGACAGAAGGCCTTCTCGGTGGTGGCACCCGTCCTGTGGAACGCCCTCCCTTTAGATGTGAAGGAAATAAGCAGCTATCTTTTCTTTAAAAGACACCTGAAGGCAGCCCTGTTTAGGGAAGTTCTTAATATTTAATGCTGTACTGTTTTTAACACTTGATTGGAAGCCGCCCAGAGTGGCTGGGGAAACTCAGCCAGATGGGCGGGGTATAAATAATAAATTATTATTATTATTAAATCCCCAGAGCCCAAAATGTGGCAAATGTTGGACTTGTGTCTCCCCAGTTTCCTGGGCATTGCTTCATCTCTCTTTTCCCATTGCTGCAGAGACGGCGCCAATTCTGACCAGCGGAAGAGGGAAGAGGATTTTTACTACACGGAAATGCAGGTGAAGGACGAGGCGCCCCCAGAACCCGCAGTGGCCGTCTCCAGCCCCACCGCCACCTCTGCGGGGGCTTCTTCTCCCATCACCATCCAGCAGACTCCATCACAGCCAGAAACTCTCATCCTGGACCAAGCAGTGCCCCCAAAGCATCACCTGTCCAGCAGCGCCCTCAGCCAGTCGGCTCCTAGCTCCTTCTGGCACATCCAAGCTGACCATGCGTATCAGGTAGGGCCCGGCCAGCCCTCCCCAAATATATATCTCCTCCCATACCCTTTTTATTACAACTAGCAAAAACCCAAAAATATGGCTGTGGGGTATTGCATCATGCCACGTGCAAAACAGTCGAACGAGAGGAATAGGGATGCACCAATATAACTTGAGGTTAGACCACAGAGCCTAGGACTTGCCGATCAGAAGGTCAGCTGTTCGAATCCCCGCGACGGGGTGAGCTCCCGTTGCTCGGTCCCTGCTCCTGCCAACCTAGCAGTTCAAAAGCACGTCAAAGTGCAAGTAGATAAATAGATACCACTCCGGCGGGAAGGTAAACGGCGTTTCCGTGCGCTGCTCTGGTTCGCCAGAAGTGGCTTAGTCATGCTGGCCACATGACCCGGAAGCTGTACACCGGCTCCCTCGGCCAATAAAGCGAGATGAGCGCCGCAACCCCAGAGTCGGCCACGACTGGACCTAATGGTCAGGGGTCCCTTTACCATTATGCCACCTACAAGGGACGCAGGTGGCGCTGTGGTCTAAACCACTGAGCCTAGGGCTTGCCAATCCGAAGGTTGGCAGTTCGAATCCCCACGACAGGGTGAGCTCCCGTTGCTCAGTCCCTGCTCCTGCCAACCCAGCAGTCTGAAAGCACGTCAAAGTGCAAGTAGATAAATAGGTACTGCTCCGGTGGGAAGGTAAACGGCGTTTCCCTGCGCTGCTCTGGTTCGCCAGAAGCGGCTTAGTCCTGCTGGCCACATGAGCCGGAAGCTGTACGCCGGCTCCCTCGGCCAGTAAAGCAAGATGAGCGCCACAACCCCAGAGTCGTCCGCGACTGGACCTACTGGTCAGGGGTCCCTTTACCTTTTACCTTTATGCAGGGTAGTCTGGCTACGGTGATGCATGCTTTGAAAACAAAGTCCTCCTTCATGGAGCGTGCAGTTAAACTACAGACCTCTCTCTCTGTCCTGCCACCCCATAAATGCATTTTGCAAAAGAGGCAGCGGAGATGGAAACACAGCAAATCCTTTCTCACCTCCTTTGTTTTTTCTCTCTCAGGCTCTGCCGTCCATCCAGATCCCCGTATCCCCGCACATATTCACCAGTATCAGCTGGGCTGCAGCGACATCTACCATCCCTACCCTCTCACCGGTGAGTCCTGACTAGAGATGTAAAATTTCTGGAAATTTTGAAGCCATGTGAAATAAAATGTGCCCCCCCCCCCCCGTTTTTCCCGGGGAAAAATAGAAATTTTGGAAAAATTGAAAAAAAGTTTAGTGTGGTTTTACAAATTGCGTGAAATGCAGTGTATATAAAAGTATTATGCCTGCAATAAAACACGTAACAACCTCCCTTGCCCTCAAAAGGAACAAAAAAAGCAAGAAACCATCAACGTAAAAATAATCAGATTTGCCCCTTAGCACTAATAGCAAATAAAGTTAAGGTCCACTTCAATATTTAAGCTCCATAGAAGGTCTACCCTTTGAGCAGTGCTTTTTTAAAAGAAGAAGCAAGACTACATATGTTGTTGTTGTTTAGTCATTTAGTCGTGTCCGCCTCTTCGTGACCCCCTGGACCAGAGCACGCCAGGCACTCCTGTCTTCCACTGCCTCCCGCAGTTTGGTCAAACTCATGCTGGTAGCTTCGAGAACACTGTCCAACCATCTTGTCCTCCGTCGTCCCCTTCTCCTTGGGCCCTCCATCTTTCCCAACATCAGGGTCTTTTCCAGGGAGTCTTCTCTTCTCATGAGGTGGCCAAAGTACTGGAGCCTCATGGAATAAGTAAATATGAAGTGTAAAATAAAGACAGAGGAGAATTAAATACTTTCGAATGTTAAAATAAGTAAATGAAAAGAAGGTTAGAAGGATTTGCTGGAGATACGATTCAAATTAGAATACAAAGCAGAGAGGTGAGAGGAAGTCACGGAAATAAGTAAATGGGAAAACGGTTTTAAAGGTTTAATTTGATTTTTTGTTACCTTTTTATTGTGATTTTTTGTCTTTTGTATTTTTCTTTTGTATTGTTCGTTTTTTGTATAAGATGTATGTGATTTGTTTTTCTTTCTCTACTTTTTTCTTTTTCTGTAATTTTAAAATTGGAATAAATATTCTTAAAAAAAAAACCAAACAAAGTACTGGAGCCTCAGCTTCAGGATCTTTCCTTCCAGTGAGCACTCAGGGCTGATTTCCTTCAGAATGGAGAGGTTTGATCTTCTTGCAGTCCATGGGACTCTCCAGAGTCTCCTCCAGCACCAGAATTCAAAAGCATCAATTCTCTGGCGATCAGCCTTCTTTATGGTCCAGCTCTCACTTCCATACATCACTGCTGGGAAAACCATAGTTTTAACTATATGGACCTTTGTTGGCAAGGTGATGTATCTACTTTTTAAGATGCTGTCTAGGTTTGTCATTGCTTTTCTCCCAGGAAGCAGGCATCTTTTAATTTTGTGACTGCTGTCACCATTTGCAGTAATCATAAAGCCCAAGAAAGTAAAATCTCTGCCTCCATTTCTTCCCCTTCTATTTGCCAGGAGGTGATGGGACCAGTGGCCATGATCTTTGTTTTTTTGATGTTGAGCTTCATTTTTTAAAAAAATAATATTTATTACTTTTAAACCTTACAAAAAGGAGAAAAGAAAAGAAGAAAGAAAAGAAAAGGAAAAGCAAAAAAACACACACAAAAAAATACAGTACAATATATGAACAATACACAACACAACATTAACATTAACACATTAAACAAAACAAAAGCAAAAACAATTCAAAAAACACACATCATACCATCTCAATATCCTCTTTCATTCCCTTATTTCATCGACCTCCTCTCACCTCCCTTTTTGTATTTCATTTCTATTAATTATTTCAGCAAATCCTTTCCATCTTGCTCTATTTTCTGTCATGTGATTATCTTAACATATTTTAACCTTATTTTCCATTAATACTATAATACTTATTTATGCTTAATTCCTTAAAACATTTCTACTAAAGCCATATAATTCCCTCCCAACATTTTTCTAACACTCATTAATTTTACATTATTTCCATATATAGATTTTAAACTTTTTCCAATATTCTTCCACAATCTCTTCTCCCTGGTCTCGGATTCTGCCAGTCATTTCCGTCAATTCCATATAGTCCATCAACCTGGTGATCTTCTGTCCGAGGCTCTTAACTCTTTTCCAAGTCCCTTCTGCAAGTCTTCTTCATATTTATACATGCACTTTACTTTGTCTTCTCCTGATCTTGTTCTTATTTTCCTTCCTTTGATGCTGAAAAGTAGATCGCGGGAAATTCCCATCTAGCAATGTTTTTATTCCTTCTCGACAAGTCAGCCAAATCTCCATAGTTAGAACTGAAATTCAAAAGATATTTCCAGTCGTGTTTCAAAGTTCCTCCAAGTCTGGCGGTCCCCACAACTCCAGTCTCCTCCTGACCCACGTCCAGGTCCCAAAGGTCAATAAATCCCTGCATGAAGGGATCTATCCAACGTTCCTTCTTCAGTCCAAGCGGGGCTCCAATCCTCAAAGTCTGACTTTCTCTAAATTCAGTCTTAAAAGGCATCAACTTATAGTCATCAAATTGCATCTGTAAGGCTGGGGCTCTCTCCCTCTCCACTTGTGCAACTTTAGGTTCCTTTGATGTTGAGCTTCAGACCATATTTTGCGCTCTCCTCTTTCACCCTCATTAAAAGGTTCTTTAATTCCTCCTCACTTTCTGCCATCAAGGTTGTGTCATCTGCATATCTGAGGTTGTTGATATTTCTTCCGGCAGTCTTAATTCCGGCCTCGGATTCATCCAGCCCAGCCTTTTGCATGATGAATTCTGCATATAAGTTAAATAAGCAGGGAGACAATATACAGCCTTGTCGTACTCCTTTCCCAATTTTGAACCAATCAGTTGTTCCATATCCAGTTCTAACTGTAGCTTCTTGTCCCACATAGAGATTTCTCAGGAGACAGATGAGGTGATCAGGCACTCCCATTTCTTTAAGAACTTGCCATAGTTTGATGTGGTCGACACAGTCAAAGGCTTTTGCATAGTCAATGAAGCAAAAGTAGATGTCTTTCTGGAACTCTCTAGCTTTCTCCATAATCCAGCGCGTGTTTGCAGTTTGGTCTCTGGTTCCTCTGCCCCTTTGAATACATGCAGTTTATTCGATCTCATTTTCTGAACTACTGCTGTCATTTTCCATTTCTTCCTCTTCCTCTTTATCATTTTTCTCATGGACTTCTAAAAAACGGCTTTGCAAAAAACAGGGAAAAAACTTGATTTCCCCCCAATTTTTCCGTTTTTTTCCAGGCCTTCCCATCTCTAATCCTCACTTCTGTGGCTGCAGGAATCTTGAGCAGCATAAAGGGCTGTTTCCAGCGCCTTGGGGAGGCGGGGTCCTGGAGACACTTGCTTTTGGGTGTATCGTAAAGTACGTACGTTTCTTGTTTGCAGGTGCGAAGCCGGTCCCTGAGTTTCAGCGAGCAGCAGCCTCCGCCACCGCTGCCTCCTCCACCACCACCACCTGTCTTGAAATCCCACCTGATTGTCACGTCTCCTCTGCGGGTGCCCAGCAGCTCGAGGTAAGGCCGGCAAATAATAATAATAATAATAATAATAATAATAATAATAAATAATACCCCACTCATCTGGCTCATATATAAAAACATAATAAAATGTCAAACATTACAAACTTCCTAATGTTGTTGTTGTTGTTGAGTCGTTTAGTCGTGTCCGCCTCTTCGTGGCTCCCTGGACCAGAGCACGCCTGGCACTCCTGTCTTCCACTGCCTCCCCCAGTTTGGTCAAACGCATGTTGGTAGCTTCGAGAACACTGTCCCACCACCTCGTCCTCTGTCGTCCCCTTCTCCTTGTGCCCTCCATCTTTCCCAACATCAGAGTCTTTTCCAGGGAGTCTTCTCTTCTCATGAGCTGGCCAAAGTCTTGGAGCCTCAGCTTCAGGATCTGTCCTTCCAGTCAGCACTCAGGGCTGATTTCCTTCAGAATGCCTAGGTTTGATCTTCTTGCAGTCCATGGGACTCTCCAGAGTTTCCTCCAGCACCAGAATTCAAAAGCATCCATTCTTTGGCGATCAGCCTTCTTTATGGTCCAGCTCTCACTTCCATACATCACTACTGGGAAAACCATGGCTTTAACTATATGGGCCTTTGTTGGCAAGGTGATGTCTCTACTTTTTAAGATGTTGTCTAGGTTTGTCCTAATAGCTTTTTATTATTCCTAATAGCTTCCTAATAGCTTTTTATTATTAATTTATTTTACAATGCATATAAAACAGAGAACAACAATTACGGCAACAGGCAAAAATTAAAAGGTTGGGGGAAAAGGAACTGTAAAATAGACACCTAGAATGAGTAAGCTGCACATGAATTAAAATAACCAAGCCCAGATCATCAAGTATTGTGACAGCCTTGAAAACGATGGTTCTGGACTCCCCTGAGATCTAGGGATGGAGGAAATAAAGGAACGAATGAATGAACGTCATAACAGAATGCCAAATCCTATCAAAAGTCTCTGGAGGTTCTAGTCCTTGTAGAAATCACAAATTATGTGTGATTTAAGTCTGCCTGGATAGCTCAGTTGGATAGAGCGTGGTGCTGATAATATCAAGGTTGCAGGTTTGATCCCCATATGGGACAGCTGCATATTCCTGCCTTGCAGGAATTTGGACTAAATGATCCTCAGGGTCCCTTCCAACTCTTCAATTATACGATTCTTTGATTTTCCTGTATTATAGCTGTATTCCAGAGTCAGCAGTATCAAATGTCTGGTGTAAGATTTTGGGCAGTTTCTGATTGAGTTGCGATCACTATTTGTGCTGCCAGGATTATATATATATAACGACAACAACAGCAACAACAATTTTAATTTGTACCCTGCCATCCCTGGCTGGAGCCGGGCTCAGGGCGGCTAACAACATAAAACTAACACAGTATACAAAGAACATAATAACAGGCAATCAATTAATTAAAATACATCTTAAAATTTAGTTCAGAGCAAATTAAAATCTGGACAGATGGCAGTCCACGGGTAAAATTGACATGATGATGATGATTATGATGATGATGATAATAATAATAATAATAGTAATAATAGTAATAATAGTAATAATAATAATAATAGTAATAATAGTAATAATAATATTTTATTATTTATACCCCATCCATCTGGCTGGGTTTCCTCACTCTGGGCTGCTCCCGACAGAACACTAAAACCAGAATAAAACTCCAAACATTAAAAACCTCCCTAAACAGGGCTGCCTTCATCAGAAACACTCGGCAACATTTATTTTGTAAATGGCTGCGCTCGTTCCTCTCTGGTCGGGGACAGAGGGTGGCGCTTGGGGGGGAATTGTCATCCCGCCACTCCTTGGTGTGTGGAGTGCCCCAGGGTGCGATACTCTCCCCGATGCTTTTTAACATCTTTATGCGCCCCCTCGCCCAGCTTGTCCGGAGTTTTAGGCTGGGCTGCCATCAGTATGCTGATGACACCCAACTCTATCTGTTGATGGATGGCCATCCTGACTCGGCCCCAGACACACTGATCAGATGTTTGGAAGCTGTGGCTGGATGGCTGTGTGGGAGCCAGTTGAAGTTAAATCCTTCGAAGACAGAGGTCCTGTGGCTGGGACGGGACGATATGGGATTGGGGGGGCAACTCCCATCTCTTGCGGGGGTGCAATTAGTGCCAGCACCGTCCGTTAAGAGTTTGGGTGTAATCTTCGATACCTCCCTCTCCATGGAGGCGCAGATTGCAGCTATAACAAAGGCGGCATTTTTTCATCTCCGCCAAGCTAAGCAGTTGGCTCCTTCCCTCTCTCGCCCTGACCTAGCCACTGTGATCCACGCGACGGTCACCTCCAGACTGGATTATTGTAACTCGCTCTACGTGGGGCTGCCCTTGAGACTGACCCAGAAACTCCAGCGGGTGCAGAATGCCACAGCGAGACTCCTTATGGGGTCTTCGCTGCAAGATCATATTCACCCGGTACTATACCAGCTGCACTGGCTCCCAGTGGAGTACAGGATCAGGTTTAAGGTGCTGGTTTTAACCTTTAAAACCCTATATGGCCTAGGACCCTCGTACCTACGGGACCGCCTCTCCTGGTATGTCCCACAGAGAAATTTACGGTCTGCAAATAAAAACATCCTGAAGATCCCAGGCCACAGGGAGGTTAGGCTGGCCTCAACTAGAGCCAGGGCTTTTTCGGCTGCGGCTCCAATCTGGTGGAACGCTCTGTCACAAGAGACTAGGGCCCTGCGGGACTTGACATCTTTCCGCAGGGCCTGCAAGACAGAGCTGTTCCACCAGGCCTTTGGTCAGGGCGCAGCCTGACCCCCTGCTCTGGCAATCTGCACAGAATTTTGCTTAATGGTTGCCATCAATTTGATTCTAATTTGATTTTAATTAATTTTATAATGAATGTTTTTAGAATGTTGGATTATTTTAATTGTTGTTAGCCGCCCTGAGCCCAGCTTCGGCTGGGGAGGGCGGGATATAAATAAAATTTATTATTATTATTATTATTATTATTATTATTATTATTATTATTTTGGAGAAGGTCTTCTTGACTTCCTTTCCGTTTGGCCCCGTGGTTCCCAAAGTAGTTCCAAACACACCTAGAAGACCCCCCAGGACTGCAGAGGCTGCTGTCCACCTCTATCCCCCTGTTTTCATGGCCGTGTTAAGGGGAGGATAACTCTGGGACGTTCTCTAAATGTCGGCGATCCAACCCTGTGTCTCCTTCAACGCCTGTCCCCTGCCTTTCTCTCTCCCGCAGGAAAGTCCGCGGCGAAGCCAAGAAGTGCCGTAAGGTCTATGGCATCGAGCACCGCGACCAGTGGTGCACCGCCTGCCGGTGGAAAAAGGCCTGCCAGCGATTCCTGGACTGAGCGCATGCAAGTTTCCCAAGATGGAGGGAGCAATTCTCTCTCTCTCGCTGCCAGCCAAGCGCCAAGGGGCCAGACGTCTGTGTTTTTGCAGCGTCCACGCCCTTGGAAGCCACTCTCCCCGTGCTTCAGCGGAGATCTCGAGAGCCCGTCCTGGGCTCCGTATATTCTACGTCCGGCAGGTTTTTTTCTTCCTAATTTTCAGTGTTTTGTGGGAATGTTCGTTTTTTAAAAACACATCTTTTCCTCCTTTTTTTAACACACACACAAACACAGCGCCTCCCTTTCTATTTGTAAATAAGAGGTGCAAAGCGGGGAGAAAAGAGAGTTTTTGGCTTGGTGTAGCTTAACAGACTTGTTTCTCGGTGTGCCCAGGGACCAAAGAACCTTTTTTCCTGAACTGTTCCCTCCAAGCGTGGTTGGCTGAGTGTTTGGGTTGGTGGTTGCAATATGGAGTGCATAGGAGCATCCCTTATCTAATCCCAAATCGAGAGGGTGCTGGGTCCATCAGCTGAAGGAGGAAGGGGCGTGGCTGACTTCCTGTGGACTCCGCCAGCATGCTGTCTCCCCCTTCTGGTGCCCGGGAGGAATTACACGCTTGCACCCAAGCCCTGGGTTTTCCTCCTTCCTTTTAAACATTACGCTGTCAAAAGAACAATCATTGCATCAAGCTACAATCCAGCGAATGCTTGTTTCATTGAAGTGGAAGGAACCTGGCTCTATTGCTTTGCTTTATGCTTTCATTCCCCCATTTTATACCTAAAATTTAATGTGCAAAACAGCCTTGGGCACCTGAGTATTTCTCATGTGGCTTCAGTCGCCCCCTGCCTCAAAGGCCAGACCCGGCGTTACCCGAGGGAGGAAATAATATTTTTGCTTAATGATGGGCTTGCCCATCAAGACCATTGGGTGGTTTTGTGGGTGCTCTGGTCCGAACTGGAGCGAGCAAAAGTCATGGGTGCCAGGGCATAAACGCCATTATCGTGGCCTTCCCCAACATGGCCCCCTTGCCAATGTTTTGGGCTGGCTGGGGCTCATGGGAGTTGTAGTCCCAAGCACTGGCAGGGCGTCCGGTCGAGGAATTTGCTTCCTTCCTTCCTCTTCAAGGTCAGACCCGTTGCGCATGCAATCCAGACCGTTCGTCGCCAATGCACCCAAACTGCGCCATTTTGCAGAGCATGCTGGGAGAATGCACTTGGCTCACGCTGTGGAGTTGTGTGGAAAGGCAAAACATTTTGGGGGAAACCCTCTTTTTAGCCTAGTGCTGCCAGCGGTCAGTGTAGTTGCCAAATGACAATCAACGCAGAGAGCTAGATCTCCGCGCTGGGGAACGATAAAAGTAGCCCAGGGATGTCTTGTGACAGGAGATTTAAAAACTCCAGGAATGTTGAAGCCCTCTGTTTCCCTGCACCCCCAGGTTGGGGAAAAAATATATGAAAGTTTAGGTAGTACTTTTTTTAAAAATCGGATTTTCAACTTGCTTTAACACACCACGTTTCCAGCGATTTCCATTTAGGCCCCAGAACCCTGGGGGGGGGGAAGAGGTGGGGCCCCCCACCCACAATTTGTCACATGACTCCATCTGATTTTCGGTTGTGGGTGCCGCACTGCGCAAGGAGGGAGCCCTCATTGAGACCACCAAACTTTGGGGCTGCCAGTCACGACATAGAGGCGCTTGTTAACGAATCGTGGTTTCCCTTCCTTGGGGGAGCGCTTCCCTCCCTCCACAAAAACCAGTTGCCCCGACATCTTTTTCCGATTGCTTACGTGGTTTTCCCCGTCCCAGTCACCTGCGTTTTGATAATCATGAGCCATAAACTAAAGACATAGATCTCTCCTTGCGAAAAGAGCAACCGAATGAACAATGAACACTCTGAGAACGAGGATTTCTTTACAGAAAATAAAAGCTAGCCCTGCTTTACTTTTAAGGGTACCTTTTAAGGCTTGGGGTGGGAGACTTTTTTTTTTATAAAAAGGAGTTATGTATATTATCAGTGCTTGTTGAAAAATGTGTGTTTTCCTTTGTTGTCATTTTGTGCATCATACACACCAGCCTCCCTCAATCTCCTGATCTTTTGGACCAGAACTGTGCTGGTTGGGGCTGGTTGGCAGATCTGGTCCACAACATCTGGAAGACTCGAAAGTTGAGGGAGGCTGCTATACACAGAATGTCGGATTTTTTATTTCCCTAAGCCCAGACTCCTGGTCAGTGGTAAAGCTGGTCGACGCCAAAACGTGGGTCTTATTTGAGTGCTTTGAACATCCAGAGAATCAGTGGATTGTCGGATCGCCCAAAGCTTGAACCCAGATTTCTGCATTTTTATATTTCCAAATGTGAGATTTTGGGATATTTGTGTTCTTTCGATTTCATCAAATCAAATCAATCTTTATTATGGTCCAGAGACCCAACGAAACGATTTCTTCAAATCAGTGTGCGTTTCTTGAAAAAAGAAACCCTCATGAATTATGATGTGGAAACGTATTTTTGACAGCTGTGTTTAAATTTCGGGGACAAATAATCTGGGACATCAGAGACGTTTCTTTGGAAATCTCATCCATCCTGCTTCAAAAATATCGATCTGTAGCTGTCTCGCTGCATTTGACCTTTCTGAGGTCCGGCAAAATCTACCGGATTTCCAGAATTCTCTGTTTCTGCTCCTGAAAGAGTCTCCTGACCTCTCTTCCCCATCAGAACTAATTTGTCTTGAGATTTGGAGACCAGTTTCTTCACTGGCAGAAGTCCGGGCCCTTGGGAATCTCTCTTATTTTTCGCTTCTGGTTTTTGTTTTGTTTTTTGTTTTTGTTAAAAGGTGATTAAGGAGGAGGAGGTGGAAAGAGAGAAATAATTTGTAAAGGAAAAAGGAAAGAAAAAAGGACTTTGGGGTAAGCATGTGGTATCTCGGTTTTTCTTGCTAAGGTTGGGGAATATTTCCTGCTGTTACCGAGCTATTAAAGGAATGTGCACTCCGTCAGTGGGGAGGCGATGAGTTATATTCGCCGCTAAAAGCAGCGCCCTTGTTGCTGTATGCTCCAACCCCCGGCCTTGTTCATCAAATGCCTCGTTCCAAAATTCTATAGCACTTAAATTTTGGAAAGTGAAAAAGGAAAAGCTAAGCTTGCATAGGAATATATTTGTTGTCAGTATTTTTTTTTTTGTTTCATTCCATGGGATAAGAGTTCCCCACCGTCTCTTTTTATTTTCTGAGCTGTGCAGTACAAGTTAGACTGGACAACGTAGGTCTGTGGTTTTATGTATGCCTAGCCTTTTTCTTTCTTTTTAAAAAATTGGTTTGTCAAAGTCGTGGGGTGGGAGGGAACCCAGAACGCAATGGAAACTCGAGGGAACAATCTACCCATGCAACAGATTGCCGCTTTGCCATTATTTCCAGGGTGCACGACTTCCCCTGCACCGAAAGGGCACAATCCTGTTGTCTCTACACTTAGGATAGAGGACTTTACATCTGCATGTGATGGCCAGAAACTAGGGGCGAGTGATGGGAACAGGCAGGGCTGGCTCATTCTGCCACTGCCTCCTCCTGGCAGACTGACTGTGAGGGCTGCCTATTCATGAGACTAGCCCTCATTGAGGAGCCAGGTTTAAGGTTCGGCCTGCTAGCCCTTCCTGCTTCGTTCCACTCAAGATGCTCTGCTTCCTAGACTCTGGTCCTCCCCGCCAAGCGCTTTGTGGCCCCGCATGTAACTCCGATGGCTGGCATACGTAGAGCCAGGAGCAAGGCTGTGTGTTGCCACTCTGTGGACTAGCACCTTGATTTTTGTATTGTGCCATGGTGGGAGCTTCGGGACTTGGCACTCAATAGAAACCAGCAATACACGAATCCCATCACTACTTCAAAAGGTGTGAGCTTCGTCTTGTGTGTCTGCATGATGCCCAGGGAGATGTTCTGCAAATTATTTCAGGGCCCCAAAGTACAAAATCCGGCTTCGATCAACGATAACCTTGCAACTATTGCGGGTAACTTCAGTTTTTTCCCTTGGCAGGAAATGAACCGAAAGCAAAATATTTGCTATTTCCTCTAGCCAAAACAGCTGTTCCTCTGGATTTTCTTTACAGCTCTGAGCTCCCCTTTCCTCTGTTTTGGAAAAATAGCCTAAATGTTTAGATCTCATTTTGAAAAATCTCTTCCCTTCCCCTTTCTCTTTTTTCCGGCCCATTCTCTCAATTTCCCTTGAAACCTGGTCGAGTTCCTTACTTAGAACTTTTTATAGTGAAAAGTCTCCCTTTTCCTCACCTCTCTGTAAAACAGGATGGGGGTCTCTCCTTTGACCACAGGTGTGCTTGCAGCCTTCCTAACAAATGGCAGCTCCTGCAACTGAACTCTATGAGCTGTTTTTCCTTGCTACATCCTTAAGGACATGGGTATATCATTACTTCTAAAGGGTTTTTTTTTTTTAATTAAAAAAAATATAGGGTTGTATTCAAGCGGGTGCCAAGTCCCTCAATCCATTGATTCCAGTTTTGCAGGGCTTTCGGTCCACCATTCTGTGATCAGAATTTGTTCTTGTGCAACAGAAATTTTCTCTCCCTCCCCCTCCTCAATCTAAATCCTAGGGGTTCGCATCCCATAACAGGACACACATCAGAGGGGAATCCTGTTGTGTTAGCACGAAATCCCACACTTGTACAATTATTCTGTTGCATGCCACCTATATTCTTGTCCATCCAGGGGCGCTCTCTTTCCCCGAGCGAACGGTCCAGGTTTGTCGTGTCTGCGTCCTGACCTTCTGAGACAGAAGTCGCTTGAGTCGAAGACCCAAGAAAGATCTGCACACACCACTGTGGGCTGGATCTCCCGCCCCACTTAAGAGGGCTTTTGTACACATGTATATAGGAATCTTTTCTACCAGGCACTAATAGGAAGAGGTGGGAGCTGTTTTCTAATTTACACTTTGCACTGTGAACCATTGAGTTTTCGTTGGGAGGCTGGGAGCCCACATGAGACAGACAGAGAGGATGAGTTTGTGCAGAAAACCGGCACAAACTGAACCATTGCACATTGTCTGGTTCGATCCAGAACTCATTGATTACCCCTTCCTACCAGGAAAGGAAAAAATGAACGCTTGGGTTTTGATCGGGGATGGGAACAGGGGACCCTTTGTGGATGTTGTTGGACTACAACTCCCATGATCCTTTGGAGATGATGGTAGTTGCCTGAAAGCCGCAAGATTCCCACCCACCTCAACCAAAATACAATACCAGCGAAATCCTACATGGAAAGGGCTGTGTGGGGACGTGCATGTGTGGATGTTGTGACCTGTCGGGCATGCGTAGACATTTTTGTTAGCTAGGCCTGCTGGGGTTTACCTGCATTTCTAGTCGCCTGGATACAAACTCCTTTTTGCATTTGGTAGAAATCTTAACACAAACACACATATACACACACACACACACACACACACACACACACACACACTGGTGCAAGCAATTCTGTGGGTACATGAGAAAGGGGACCAGTCTGATCACCAGCAATTTTCTTCTTCTCTTTCGAAAGAGTTTAACAAAGGTGCAGAGAGAGAAAGAACCAGGAACCTCCATTTTTTCTGCCCTTTCTCCCTCGCACAAGTCACACACCAGCCAGTTCAGAAGTTCCAAGAGGCTAGCCATCCTCTCCAAACTGTCCGTCTGTCAAGATCTCCTTAGGAAGCTAAGGAATGCAACATGGCCGTTTTGTGGGCTTGCTGGGTTGCTGGCAGGGTGGGAAAGGTGAGGGGCACCGCCCCCCCCCCCCAGTTATTACAAGGCGTTTGGACAGGAAAGGGGAAAGGATGAGATCTTGTAACCCGCTAATAATAGCTGCTGTTTGGATGGTGATATGCTACCAAGCCTAACGGGGGGAATATATCGTATCGGTGAATTACTGTCTCTTAATTGGAGCTTTTCTTTTTTGATTGTCTTCCAAGTATTATTTTTTATTGTAAGCAAAACAAAAAAAAAATGTGAAATGTAATTTTTACAACGGCAATACGAAATATATTTTATAATAAAATGATATGGCCTGATAACCCTACGTTTCTCTGGGTTTTTCTTCTCCTACTTGCTATTACTGTATCATCATCAAGATGACATTTATACCCTACTTTTTCCTCAAAGAAACTGAAGGTGTCGTACGTAGTTCTCCTCCCCATTGCAACCCTACAACAACCCTGTGAGGTAGTTTAGGCTGAGAGGCAGTGGCTGGACCCCAGGGCCACCCAGGGAGCATGCAGACTGAGTGGCGATTCAAACCCTGGTCGCCCAGGTCCTTGGCCGACTCTAACCACTACACCACCGCTGCCTCTCATTCCATTACTTCAGCGGAAACCCCTGGGGGATGTGCCTGTGTGCTTCAGGTATGTGTGCAGCAACCACAAGGCCGTTTGGAAACAGCCTGATAATGTTTCGTACTTGTTCTGTGTTATTCCGATTTGATTCTTTATTTGGGTTTGAATCTGTTAAACCCAAACCTCTGGTTTGCTCCCATTGATTATATTTTGGGGGGACGATCTAAAAGGGCTATTAAGGTTTCTTTCCCTGACTTTATTTTTTATTTTTTAACTTTTATTGTGCTTTAAACAGGTACATATAAATATATACCTGACTTTATTACATTCCTATCCTACCTTCCCTCTCAGCACCTCAAGGTGCCACACGAAGTTCTCCTCCCCATCTGATCCTCACAACAACCTTGCGAGGGATGGTAATAATAATAATTTATTATTTGTACCCTGCCTATCTGGCTGGGCTTCCCCAGCCACTATGGGCCGCTTCCAACTCAGATTAAAAATACATTAAAATGTCACACATTAAAAACTTCCCTGAACAGGGCTGCCTTCAGATGTCTTCTAAATGTCAGGTTTTTTTTTTATCTCTTTAACATCTGATGGGAGGGAGTTCCACAGGACGGGCGCCACCACTGAGAAGGCCCTCTGCCCGGTTCCCTGTAGCTTTGCTTCTCGCAATGAGGGAACCGCCAGAAGACCCTTGGCGCTGGATCTCAGTGACCAGGCTGAACAATGGAGGTGGAGACGCTTCTTCAGGTATTCTGGGCTGAGGCCGTTTAGGGCTTTCAAGGTCAGTACCAACACTTTGAATTGTGCCTGGAAATGTACTGGGAGCCAGTGTAGGTCTTTCAAGACCGGTGTTATATGGTCTCGGCGGCCGCTCCCAGTCACCAGTCTAGCTGCCGCATTCTGGATTAGTTGTAGTTTCCGAGTCACCTTCAACGGTATCCCCACATAGAGCGCATTTGCAGTAGTCCAAGCGGGAGATAACTAGAGCATGCACTACTCTGGCAAGACAGTCTGTGGGCAGATAGGGTCTCAGCCTGCGTACCAGGTGGAGCTGGTAGACAGCTGCCCTGGACACAGAATTGACCTGCGCCTCCATGGACAGCTGTGAGTCCAAAATGACTCCCAGGCTGCGTACCTGGTCTTTCAGGGGCACAGTTACCCCATTCAGGACCAGGGAGTCCTCCACACCCGCCCGCCTCCTGTCCCCCAAGAACAGTACTTCTGTCTTGTCAGGATTCAACCTCAATCCGTTAGCCGCCATCCATCCTCCAACCGCCTCCGGGTTTCGCCGCTCACGCATGCGCAGAAGCACTAAGTTGCACTGCACACGTGCACAGATGCAGTGCCTCCGGGACGGATTACGTCCGCAACTTGAGGTTCCACTGTACAGTGGTGCCTCGCAAGACGAAAAGAATCCGTTCCGTGAGTCTCTTCATCTTGCGGGTTTTTTCGTCTTGCGAAGCAAGCCCATTAGCGGTTTAGCAGATTAGCGCTACAGTATTAGCGGCTTAGCGGGCTTAGCGGATCAGCTGATAAGCGGCTTAGCGATCAGCTGTTAAGTGGCTTAAGGATCAGCTGATAAGCGGCTTAACGATCAGCTGACAAGCGGCTTAGCGATCAGCTGTTAAGCGGCTTAGCCGATCAGCTGATAAGCGGTTTAGCGGCTTGGGAAAAGGGGGGGGAGGAAAAAAAAAACGCAGGAACTCGCAAGACATTTTCGTCTTGCGAAGCAAGCACATAGGAAATTCGTTTTGCGAAGCACCTCCAAAATGGAAAACCCTTTTGTCTAGCGGGTTTTCCGTCTTGCGAGGCATTCGTCTTGCGGGGCACCACTGTACTCACATTCTGATGGTTTTGGATTCTGTAGAAGAGGCTGTTGGATCAGGCCAAAAAGGGGCCCATCTAATCCTGCATCCTGTTCTGAAAGTGGCCAACCAGTTTGTGGGGAACCCGCAAGCAGAATCCGTGCACAAGAGCATCTCTCCGTCCCTGTGGCTTCCAGAAAATGCTACTCAGAAGCAGCCATTGCTGCCTCCGGCTAGTAGCCATGGATAGCCTTGCCCTCTACGGGTGTCTCTAAATCTTCTTTTAAAGCCATGCAAGTTGGTGGCCATGGCTGCTTCCTGAGGCAGGGAGTTCCACAGTTTAACTGTGCCTTGTGTGAACAAGTACTTTCTCTAAAAAAATTAAAAATCAGGGTTGTTTTCTGCGCTTGATTTACAAGAGAAAGGGGAGAGGGAGCCAAACTTTGCTGGCTGTTCATTGGTCAGCTCCTTTGACGTACACTGCTGGGGGGAAGTCACATAAGTGTAGCATTTATTTTTGTATTCTTTGTATTCAGGTTTTCTAAAATAAGTGAGTATATGTTTGGCTGTATGTGCATATTAAATAATAAAAGTAAAAAATAAATAAATTGTAGAGTTGTAAGTGACCCTGAGGACCTTCTGGTCCAACACAGGAATAGGCAGCTGTCGTTTACAGGAATCGAACCTGCAACCACGGCATTGTCTGCACCCTGCTCTAAGCAGCTGAGCTATGCATAAGGCAGTGGGTGGGGGTGGAATAGGTGATCTGGCACTGCATAGACATGACATTTGCAACATCCATCCAAAACTCATGGCCTTTCCCCCAAAGAATCCTGGGAACTGTTGCGCATGCCCACAGAGAACTACAATTCCCAGCACCCTTAACAAAAACAACAGATGTGAATGCGCTCACGATCTCTCTGGGACCAGAATAAGCGAGGCTCTTATTTAAGTACATGGAAATGAGAGCTGGACCATAAAGAAGGCTGATCGCCGAAGAATGGATGCTTTTGAATTCTGGTGCTGGAGGAGACTCTTGAGAGTCCCATGGACTGCAAGAAGATCAAACCTCTCCATTCTGAAGGAAATCAGCCCTGAGTGCTCACTGGAAGGACAGATCCTGAAGCTGAGGCTCCAAGACTTTGGCCACCTCATGAGAGAGAAGACTCTCTGGAAAAGACCCTGATGTTGGGAAAGATGGAGGGCACAAGGAGAAGGGGACGACAGAGGATGAGATGGTGGGACAGTGTTCTCGAAGCTACCAGCATGAGTTTGACCAAACTGCGGGAGGCAGTGGAAGACAGGAGTGCCTGGTGTGCTCTGGTCCAGGGGGTCACGAAGAGTCGGACACGACTAAACAACAACAACAAAAATAACTATTTAAGTACAGCACACCCACCCAAAAAATGTGCTCGTGATCTATCTAGGAGCAGAATAAGCGAGGGTCTTATTCAAGTACATCTCACGTACATCCCCCCAAAAATCAGGGGTGAAAACAGCCTGTTCCGGCCACGAGGCTCGCCGCTCAAGCAACCATACCTCGCAAGAAACGTTGGCCCAAGGTGTGAGCCACCCAGGACCACTTTTTAATTACTTTCCTGCAAGCAAAGCCCAGGTGTTCCATCTCGGGGCGATGATGTTTGCATTCCTACGAAGTCATAATTCATAGAAATTGAAAGGAAGGGGGAGGGAAATTCCAATGGGGAAACAAGGAACTGATGCCTCACCTCACCCTAGTGCACGTTTTGTTTCTCCCTCCCTTTTTAATTTCCCAAATCAAAGCCTGCCAAGGAGGCTGGAGGCACTTTATAAAACAGAGCTCTCCATTGCCCTTCGCACTGCCAAACCTCTGAGGCGGAGCGCGCAAGGATCTGAACCCGGCTCACCCAAGCCCCACACAGCCTCTTTGAACAGCTGCGTAAAAATCATAGAATCACAGAGCAGTAAGGGACCTCAGGGGGTAATCCAGTCCAACCCCCTTGCAATGCAGGAACTGCAGCTGAAGAATCTGACCTGATCATAATAATAATATTATAATAATTTATTATTTGTACCCCACCCATCTGGCTGGGTTTCCCCAGCCACTCTGGGCGGCTTCCACAGAAACCAAAATACACTAAAATATCACACATTAAAAACTTCCCTGAAAAGGGCTGCCTTAAGATGTCTTCTGAATGTCAGGTAGTTGTTTATCGCTTTGACATCTGATGGGAGGGCGTTCCACAGGGCGGGTGCCACTACCGAGAAGGCCCTCTGCCTGCTTCTCTGTAACTTGGCTTCTCACAGGGAGGCAACTGCCTCGGAGCTGGACCTCAGTGTCCAGACTGAACGATAGGGGTGGAGACGCTGCTTCAGGTCTACTGGGCTGAGGCCGTTTAGGGCTTTAAAGGTCAACACCAGCACTTTCCCGATCTGTTTAAAAACCTTGCCATGAAGGAGAGTCTGACGCCTTCCGAGGGAGTCCTACAGTCCTACAGTGCTTTTTAACATCTACATGCAGCCGCTGGGAGAGATCATCAGGGGGTTTGGACTGGGTGCCCATCAATATGCGGATGATACCCAGCTCTACCTCTCTTTCAAATCAGAACCAGTGAAGGCGGTGAAGGTCCTGTGTGAGTGTTTTGAAGATCTGAGCATTTTGAAGTTCCAACAGCAGGAAGCACACCCAAGTCCCGAGTCCTCCCATTTTGGCCCAATTTTTCCCTTCGTTTCTCAAAGGAGCTGGCCAACCAACAGCCAGCAAGCTTGGCTCCCTCGCCGTTTACCTTCCTGCCGGAGCGGTACCTATTTATCTACTTGCACTTTGACATGCTTTCGAGTTGCTAGGTTGGCAGGAGTAGGGACCGAGCAATGGGAGCTCACCCCGTCGCGGGGATTCGAACCGCCGACCTTCTGATTGGCAAGCCCAAGAGGCTCTGTGGTTTAACC